ACATGTTAGCACAGTCTGGGGTTGGTTGGTGTTTATAACACTCAAAACCTGTTTTTATAATAATATCCATTTTTTATACAATTCAATAAAATTCCTTTCTACACATATATTTATTGTCTTTTATAGTATATTTTATTAACTCGTGTTGATAAAAATAAACAATCTGTTGACATTAATTTTTTGACACATGTCGTGCACGGTTTGAATACAGCCATTTTTAGTCGTCATACATAACAACCCTTTCTTGGCATGAAATAGTACTCTTTAAATTAGTCGGTTATAAATGTCTGTAAAAGAGTGTTTTATAAGGTAACGATGATAAATTACACTATAAATTACAATTTCGTCAAAAATAAATATATTTTGATTTTCTGCGTGGAATATTATAAGTAATAGTTTTTACAAACCACATACATAATGTGGAATTTAAAGAAATAGCCAGAGAATATGTAATTTTAACTTTAAGTAAAAACCGTTATTTACCACAAATCACATTATAAAGAACCTACACAATTACATTCGTTCACGAAAATAATCTCTGGATCGAACTTCGTATGCGTGTCCGAAAATAAAACAGAGTAGGGTCGCCAACGTTCTTTCGTTCGAATTTCGTTCGTTTCCGAAAGTTTCGTTTCGAAGAAAGAGAGTAGACCTCCAGATTCTAAAGGAAAATCGGGATCAGATACACTTTATTTAGATTTGCTACACACAGGGTTTATTTTTACATCAAATGGCTTCTTTATAATTAATTAATTTGTTAATACAAAATAATCTTACAAGCTTACATGTGTACATCCAAATTTTAATTTAATAATGAAGAGTTAATGAATTTTTAATGATATAATGACAAAGTTGACGAAATACATCACAGTCACTTTTTAAAATAAATTTGTTTACAATGTCAATAGTTATTCAGTGTGAATCAATTATAGCGATAAATTATATATATTTTAAGTGTGGGAGAGCCAAGCTTCGGCACGAATGGGTCTGCTCCACCGGAGTGATACCACGGCCTTACAGAAAACCGACGTGAAACAACCACAGCGTTGTGTTTCGCCGTGTGAGTAAGGTTACCGGAGGTCCAATCCATCCCTAAATCTCCAAGTCCCTAATCCCCAAAAGATCGGCAACGCATTCGTAACTCCTCTATCGTTGCGGGTGTCCATGGGCGACTGATGGCTGTGAATACTTGCTATAAACCTATTATACTTGGTACTATGATAACATTGATCAATATCATTAATATAAAGATTGAACAGAAAAGGACCAAGAATCGACCCTTGTGGAACTCCACGGTCACCTGTAATTATGATGATAAGAAATAATACACAGCTCAGAGATTAGCACACTGTAGTCACAATGGACAGGGCTCTGATGTATCTATCTGATGTATCTGATGTATATATGTGTCTAATGATAGCTCGGAGAATACGGTAGTTTTCAATTAGTCAAATTCAATAACTTTATTCAAATCTCAACAGAGATACTTTTCTATGAAATTTGTAACGAAACTACAAACTATAACGTCTTATTATTTTTGTGTCAAACAGCTTACTTATTTCTTTAAAATTAGCTAAAAAATATCATTTTTTTTTTATTGTATTTTATTGTATTGAGTTTATTGTGTTTTATTTTATTGTATTGAAACGTTGAATTAGGTAATTTATTTCTGACCCAGGTAACTACCCAATTTTTGGGCGATGGCAAGGCTGGCAACGATTTTAAATGCGGCACAAGAAGAAGTCGCGGGATGCCGAATACAATTTAGGTGTCTTCAAGACTAGAGTCTTAATAAACTAGTGCGCCTTACCATCAACGATTGCATCACTGCTTACAATCAGGTGGGATCGCAGTCAAGCACTAGTTTATTACAAGTAAAACAAAAATGTAGATCGCTTCTGATCAGGATATCATTGGGGAAGGTCTGTGTTAGGCAGTGGATGTCTTCGGGACTGATATGAGAATGACAATAACGTGACTTCTTTTTACCATTTTATTATTATTCATCTGTGTTGTCCACACAGTAATCTCCAAATCTTGTCTTTCCTTCCGGGCAATTTTCGTCACCTACAGTCACCACACAGGCATCCGTATGCATTGCATCATTTCTTCCGCACATATTCTTCGTTCGATTAGCATATCCGGGTTTCGTTGTGTTAGAAACCGGGTAGGCAGTGCTGTTGTTTTGTGCAGGTCTTGGCCAAGATACACTGGGCTTCGGTATGTTGTTAGTTGGCGGACGAGCTGGTGCTGGATATCCTGAATAGTTACCCGGATATTGTGTGGAGTTAAAAGGCTTGTTACTTGGCGGGAGAGGATAACCGAAATAATTACTCGGGTATTGAGAATATCCGGGTTGTGTAGGAACCAGAGGCTTAATGTTACTTTGCTGTGAATTTTGAGATTTTGGATATCCTGAATAGTTTGTTGGATATTGAGGATATCCGGGGTATGCAGGGTTTATAGGTTTGTTGTTATTTGGTTGTGGATTCGGAGCTGGATGTACAGAATAATTAGCACGGTTTTGAGTATATCCCGGTGGATTAGGGTAATAAGGTTGATATCCGGGTTTGCTGAAATTGTAGTTCTGTACCGGATTCACATATTGCTGCGTTGTATTCCGGTTATATCCGTATGTTCCGTTACCCCATCTCGGTGTATTAGTCTTATTCTGAGGCACAAAATACCCGGTTACGAATCTCTTTACCCTGTTCGTATTGATTTCTTGTCCTGTAATCGTTTTAACGAGTGAGTTTAGGAGTGGTTTTAATTGTTGAGTTTGGACAGTTCTTGAACGTAGTTTTCACTTTATTTCAGTACACATAAAGCACTATTTACAAGCACCAAATATCTAGATGTAGACTAGTGTCGCTCGCTACTGTGTCTGCTTATATTGCAGTGGCATCGCTGGTCAGTCCATATAATACCTAATGTCAGAGATAATACTATATTCTCAGTGTTTATTATTATATACAATTATGCATATCTAAAAGTTAGTTGGTTCCATTTGTCTGTTTGTGTGACTGCTCTGACTGCCATTGATTCATTTGATTGGTGAACACAGCGAATATAACATAAGTATAACATGCTTAGGGATCAGTATCTTGGATGTTGGAGCAGGAGAGGGAACGGATTGTTTGTTTTTTTTTTTAATGTTGCCCCCACTTTAGGATTTTCTCCTGTGTCATGGGTGCGGTTACAAATATACAATTTCACATACACAACACATGACACCCAGACCCGGAACAACAATTTGTGGTTCACACAAAGAGTTGTTCCGTACGGGAATCGAACCCGCGACACGTTGCACGGCAGCCAGTTGCCCAGCCACTTCACCAACCGTGCAGTCGGTTTGGTAATTAGTCAGTAAGAGTCTGACACTCCCTCTCAATCCATCCAGGGCTGGTGTGGTTATACGATGACCCCTTATAAATGATAACAAAACAGACTGCGATATTCGCTAAGTCATGAAAATTGAGGATTCCCTAATCCTAACTACATATATTGGTCCAGCAATCAGTTCGGATTTTCTATCAGTCAAAATCCTACGCAAACTTTTAGAATTTGTTATGTCGTAAGTCTATTTAATGTCGTATTTGATGAGTTTATTTCGACAGATGTATTAAAAATGTCTCGCCTTCAGGAGTCTGTGCTTCCCGGACGGTATCTTCACAGCCTACCTGGGTGTCTTCAAGGCCCAAATTAATTGCTTGTGGATAGAAGTGCTCTTATAGCTTACCATCAGACGTGATAGCAGCTAAAAGCCTGGTCATGACTAAATAGAAAAAAAAAGTGATTCTTCTGATATTTTTAGAAGACCTGGACTCACTATATCCCTACTGCGTCCGTCTTCTCTTCTCCTCAAATAATATCTTCTGATTTATTTCGTTGCGCAATCCAAGACAATCGTTCATGTTCCTGGGACGCGCCGGACTTCAGTGTTCCGGTGTTTTCATGGTTGTATCTACTATAGATCCTGGTGCACAGGAGTTGCGGATATGGGAGGGTGTGGTTCGCCAATCGATCAACAAGATGGCGATTTGAGCTGGCGGAACCACATGATTTTTGTAGTTTTGTTTATCAATCTGTATTAAAAGGTTATCGTTGTAAGTTCACCATGCAACAGTAAAGTGTTTTAAATTCCTGTTAAAATATAAGTGCATTGATAATTTACTTCAACAAAAGTGAAAAATAAAAAAAATATACGTTTTACAAAACAATTTCATAAATATATTATTTTTAATACACATTGTTTTGTATTAATGTGAGAAAAATAGTCAGTAGGAGTCTGGTACAAGTATTTCCTCCCGAGAGGTCTTTGATGATTTTCTCCCTCAAACAAAAAAAGACAATATCAAACCTCTTTACCTTAAAAACCAAGTTCTGGGTGTCCATGAGCGGCGCCGATTGCTTACCATCAGACGATTCTTCAACGTTTGCTGTCCCACTAAAAAAAATCGAGCAAAACCATATGATTTCATTCGTTTATTTGTTTAATGTTTCTTGATTTGACTTGTTTAAGCTCTTTGGAGGTTATCATTTTCGCGCCATCTGAGGTCAATAATCACTTCTGGATTTTCCATTCCGCTTTTTTTTCATACAAACAGGAGATTAAAGGAAATAAATCCATCGTTGGGTATTTATTTAGTCGACCCTACTTTTATTTAATAAACGCGAAAGTTTATAAGTACGGATAGATGTTTCTCTAAGTGTGGGAGAGCCATGCTTCGGCACGAATGGGTCGGCTCGACCGGAGTGATACCACGGCCTCACAGAAAACCGGCGTGAAACAACACAGCATTGTGTTTCCGCCGCGTGAGTGAGGTTTATGTAGGCTCAATCCTCCCCCTTCCCCAATCCCTAATCTCCAAAAGGCCGGCAACGCACTCGTAATTCTTCTGGTGTCGGTAATCCGTCTGCTCATTTGCCGAATAATCGCATCCAAAAAAAATGTTTTTTATTGTAAATCAATTAAAGTAAGTTGGTTTGTTTATTTGCAGCTGAACCCTTGAAGCCGACGTACATGCCAGTGTTTTTGACGAAGAAAGAAAGGAAGAAGCTCCGCCGACAGAGTCGCAGGGAAGCGTGGAAGGAGGAACAGGAGAAGGTCAGACTCGGCCTGGAAGCACCTCCCGAACCCAAACTCAGGTGAGCATAGGATATCCTGTTAATAATATTATGATGGTAAGCAATCAGCGCCGCCCATGGGCACCAGATACACCAAAGGAGTTACGAGTCCGTTGCCAGTCTTTTGGGGATGTTTAAGGATTGGGAAGGCATGGGAAGAGGGAGGGTTGGGTCTACAGTAACCTCACTCACTCGGCGAAACACAACGCTGTGATTGTTTCACGCCGGTTTTCTGTGAGGCCGTGGTATCACTTATAATCGCGAGAGTTTGTAAGTCTTCCCAATATAAATACTTCAGAAACTTATTGGGGCTGCTTCAGTTTAATATTATGATACCAATGTCTGAGATAAAATCATTTTTCACTTTCATTTGCAAGTACGGATGGATGTTTGTTTTACGTCGGCAGACGAGCTAGGATTACCCGATGGTAAGCAATCGGTGCCGCCCATGGACACTAGGTATTACTAGCAAAAAATACAAGGGCGTTGCGCGCATTATGGGATAAACGGGTTTTATGGATTTGAAAGGAAAGGCATGAAAGGCTTCCGGTAACTTCACTCACACGGCAAAACACAACGCTTTTTTTGTGAGGGGAAAATCATCAAATGACTTCTCCCGCTCAGGTCAGGGCGAGAGGGAGTGTCAGACTCTTACTGACTAAAAACCAGCCCGTGCCTTATCGTGCTCTAGAGCAAGGCCGCGGTGTCTTATTGCGCTGGCCCGCAACCCTGACTGAACATCAGCCCTATAGGGCCCCGTCTGTGGTGGTCTAATGCCTCTTTGAGACAACCTAGTGAAATGCTAATATACCAGAGCTGCTACTCTTGCAGACGCCATTTACGGCCAGGTATCAGAGAGCTTTGCTCTTTTCTTAGTCGGGTATACCACAACCAGAGAAAAAACCGTGGTAGAATAGAAGTTTATTAATTATGTTTATTAACCTGATGGTAAGCAATCAGGGCCGCCCATGGACATCCGCAACAACGGAGAAGTTACGAGTCCGTTGCCGGTCTTTTTGGGGATAAATTTTTCGAATCAAATCAAATCAAATCTTTTATTTTAAGTAGACCACAGAAGGCGTTTTTGAACGTCAAATATTTAGGGATTGGGGGAGGGGAATAATCGGGCTTCAGGTAACTCCACTCACAAGGCGCCGTACGCCGTGGCGCCTCAAAGAGCCATTACATGGAATGCCTGATGCTCCCCCAAGGTTGCGCAATTATCTTCTGCGGCCCAGGTCTGAGCAGGAGAAGGAACGGAATGGTTTTTTTTATGAGCAAGATTTTGTAAAGACCGCTTCTTCAGCAGTTATAAGGTGCTCACACTTTGTGCTTTTCTCTTGCAGAATATCGAATCTGATGAGAGCTCTGGGCACGGAGGCTGTCCAAGATCCAACTGCTATCGAGGCGAAGGTCCGGGAACAGATCGCTAAAAGGCAAAAGACTCATTTGGAAGCGAATAAGGCGCGCGCTCTTACCAAGGACCAGAAAAGAGAGAAGGTGGGTTAATGTTCTTTTTATAGGGTAAAAGTTGGCAAACGAGCAGACGGATTACCTGATGGTAAGCAATCAGCGCCGCACGTGGACACTCGTAGTACCAATGGAGTTATTACAAGTGCGTTGCTAGCCTCTTGTGGGTTTTTAGGGATTTGAGGTTTGAGGATAGGGGGAGAGAATTGGACCTCCGGTAACCCCACTTGGCGAAATAAAACGTAAGTTTTGCTTCACGCCGGGTTTCTGTGAGGCCGTGTTATCACTCCGGTTGAGCCGACCCATTCGTGCCGAAGCTTAGCTCTCCCACACTTATGTCATATCCCACAATAACATCGAATTTATGAGACAAAAAAGGACAACGAAACTGCAAAAGTGGCATACCACGGCCTCACAGAAAACCGGCGTGAAACAACCACAGCGTTGTGTTTCGCCGTGTGAGTGAGGTTACCGGGGTCCCAATCCCTCCCCTCCCTCAATCCTCTATTTCCAAATCCCTAATCCCCAAAGGTCGGCAACGCACTAACTCCTCTGTTGTTGCTAGTGTCCATGGACGGCGCTGATTGCTTACGACCAGGTAATCCGTCTCATAAAAAAAATGAAATTTCTTTTCTAACTACTTATAAGCTTTTCTTTTATTTGACATTGTACATTTAATTTTAATTGTCTTTCTTATAATATTTCAGGTCGACAGAAAAATCAGAGAAGATACGTCCCTGGGTGTACATGTAGCTGTTTATAGGTAAAAATAATATTCTTTTGAATTTTTTCTCGTATTGTTGTCGAAGATCGTGGTGGCCCGGAGGTTAAGGAGCCCGCTGCTCATGCATGAGGGTGTGGGTTCGAAACCTGGCAAGTACCAATGTGACTTTTTCCGAGTTATATGTACTTTCTATGATTATTTAGATACCACTGACATTCGGTGAAGGTAAATATCGTGAGGAAACCTGAACTTATAATTTTCAATTATAAGTTTGAAATCGCCAACCCGCATTGAGCAAGCGTGGTGATTAATGCGCAAACCTTCTTCGTATGAGAAAGGGCCTTTGCTCAGCAGTGGGCACTTATAGGCTGATGATGATGATGATGATGTTGTCGAAGAAGCGGTGAACAATTACTGCTCTGTACAACTCTTTGTGTGATCCACAAATTGTTGTTCCGGGTCTGGGCGTGACGTTTGTGTGAAATTGTATGTTTGTAAACGCACCCACGACACAGGAGAAAATTTAAGAAAATGGCGTAAAAATGGGATAGATTTTAGCTAAGGTCTTCTAGACAGATAGGGGGTGACTGGCGAACTCAAGTTATAGCCCCCGAAAACGGCGGCTAGCATTTTTGTATTAGCCCGCCGCAACCTCCCAAAACCGCTGCAGCTCCTGTAAGCCAGGATCTAGAGTAGATACAACCATGAAAAGACCGGAACACTTAAGACCGCCACTTAGAGACTCGATCTCGATAGAGATGTTCTCCGGTCTGCGGATGGCTAGTAAGGGTAGCTCGCAGCCCGACCAGAACCAGACCCGAGCGTACGGCGCGTAGCGTTCCACTCGCGCCTCAAAGAGCCAATAGACCACCACAGACGGGGCCCCAAAACGGCCGATGAATAAGCCTCATCACATACCACGATTTTCTTCTATGTCGTGGAGTTTTTTTATATATAATAAGTCGACAAACGAGCAGACGGATTACCTGATGGTAAGCAATCAGAGCCGCATATAGACACTTGTAACTCCTTCTTGCCGGCCGTTTAGAGATAAGGGTTTCGAGTCTTTAAGGATTGGAAAGGGATATAAGAGGGATTGGGTCTCCGGTCACCTTACTCATACGGCGAAACACAACGCTGTGGTTGTTTCACGCCGTTGTTTCTGTGAGGCCGTGGTATCACTCCGTTCATGCCGAAGCATGGCTCTCCCACACTTCATTAGAAATGTTGATGTCGTTTACAGGGTAAAGGATTTGTTTGAATGCGCTTCAGCGAAGTTCAAGGTCGAAGCTAATGCCTCCCAGCTCCATATGACGGGCAGCGTCCTGCTGCATCGAGGATGCTGCGTCGTCGTGGTCGAGGGGGGGCCCAAACAACACGCCAAGTATAAAAGGTTATTATTGTTATTCTTTCCCTTTTATTCGCCTGATGGTAAGCAATCGGCGCTGTTCATGGACACCCGCAATACCAAAGGTGTCACAGACGCGTTGCTGGACTTTTAAGAAGTACGCTCGTATTTTTTTTTTATGGTATAAGTCAGCAAACGTGCAGACGGTTTACCTGATGGTAAACAATCAGCGCCGCCCATAGACACCCGCAACACCAAAGGAGTTACGAGTGCGTTGCCGTCCTTTCGGGGATAGGGGTTGCGGATGTAAGGATCGGGAAGGGATAGGGGAAGGGACGGGATCGGGCCTCCGGTTTGAGGCCGTGGTATCACTCCGGTCGAGCCGACCCATTCGTGCCGAAGCTTGGCTCTCCCACACTTAAACTCTCTACTCTACTCTCGTTTCTCAAAGTTTTTTCCAATTTGGCTCAGCAACTGCTAAGCACGCGAATTGATTGGCCACCTCGCTTAAGGATAAAAATTGTGCATTACGTATGGGGTTAGGGGGAGGATTGGGAATGGGAATGCCCCTACCGGAAGCTCAGTTTTCTAGGCCGGATTACCTGATGGTAAGCAATCAGCGGCGTCCATCGATACCCGCAACACCAAAGAAGTTACATAAGGGTTGCGGTATTTAAGGATTGGGAGGAGGGGAGGGGGAGGGATTGGACCTCCGGTAACCTCACTCAGCGAAACACAACGCTGTGGTTGTTTCACGCCGGTCTTCTGTGAGACCGTGGTTTCACTCCGCTAGAGCCAAGACCTCAGTCACGAATCATCAAATTTTTAGGAATTCGGTATCATCGAATCATTTCTATAATACATTATTATTGTTAGACGACGAAAATCAACTAAATGAACGTAACACATATAATCTGTGGTCTCGGCAATACTGGCTGCCGTGGTGACGCTGTCGTCTGTCAACTGAGACAGATGAATAAAGTTTTCCCGCGCAAAGAGTGCAACGGGGATTCTGGTGGGAAGTTTGACGAGCATAGAAATAAGTTTCCTAAAAGAATTAGTTTTTATTTAAACTTAAATATTTGAGAGTGTATTGTTTTACTTAAAATTATATATAAATACATTATTTGATAGCCTTGGACATCGCATGCCTCATGCTTAACTAGCTTGTTTGCTTACCATCAAGCCAACCTTAAACTTAGTTGGAAGACCCCTCTTTAATATAAAAAAAAACAAATTATGCACTCTCATTTGTAATCCAAGGGCTCCGGTCTAGTTCGAAATCAGTCGAGCTCTTCCGTAACATGTCAAATGAACAATATTAAATTGTTTTACCGTTTGCCTACTTCAGACTGATGCTGCATCGCATAAAATGGGAGGAGGATATGGTGAAGGATGCGGAGGGAAACGAGGTCCCCAACAGTTGTACCCTCGTCTGGGAGGGCATCGTCAAGCAGAGGGCCTTCGGAGATATCAAGTTTAAGGTACTTATGTATTATTTTATAATGTCGTGTGGCCTTATGATTATGTGACACGACGGCAAACGACCAGTTTGATAACCTGATTGCTTACCATCAGGTAATCCGACTGCTCGTTTGCCGACCTATCACAAAAAAAATTAAGTATAGGTACAGGGATTGAAGTATGACTTAACCTTATATATTTATTAATAGCGGCGTACCCGCGGCGTCGCTCCCTTCATTTGACTACCTACCCTAGTCTACCTACCCTACTCTACCTACCCTTCCCACCAACCCTACTCTACCTACTCTATTCTACCTACACTACTCTATGTAACCTACACTACCTACCCTACTCTACCCACCTTACTCTACCCACCCTACTCTACCTACCCTACTCTACCTACTCCAATCTACCCACCCTACTTTACCTACCCTACTCTACCTACTCTACTTTACCTACCCTACCCTACCTACCCTACTATTATACCTTAACTAACCTAACCTTCTCTTCCTACCCTACCCCGTACCCACTAACCCTACTCTACCTACCCTACTGTACCTACCCTACCCTACTGTACCTGCCCTACCTACCCTACCCTACTGTACCTACCCTACGTACCCTACCCTACCTAACCTACCTCTCCTACTCTACCTACCCTACTCTACCTACCCTACTCTAACTACCCTGCTCTACCTACCCTACATGACATACTCTATCCTATCCTATGTCCTTCTCCTGGCTCTAAACTACCTCCCTGCCAATTTTCAGCTAAATCGGTTCAGCCGTTCTTGAGTTATAAGTGGAGTAACTAACACGACTTTGTTTTATATATTAAATTATTTTTTTGTTCAGGTGATGCCGACAGAGAAGCAAGCTCGGGAACATTTTCAGAAACATCGCGTGGAACATTATTGGGACCTAGCATACAGCGGCGCTGTCCTGGCGCCCAGCGACGAGCCCTAGCGCCCTTGACGATACCTAACGCCCTAGCGCCCTGGGGCGCCAATTAATGCGACGATAATTGTAATAAATACATTAAAACCAATGAAAACAACAATGAAACAATGAAACAATGAATTTATTTTTGCAAATAGGCCTTAAAACGGCACTTTTACACGTCAAATTATATGTGAAAAACTAGATGAAGCCGGCATTTCCTATCTGACTACTCTGAGAAGAAATGCCGAAACAAACTCAGAGGTCAGTCTCTTTTCAAGTCCAGACAATATAAAATAACATAATGTGAGAGAACCGTGCAAGTTCATTCTGTAGTGGTCTTTTGAGGAAAGAACCACACCAGTTTAAGTGGACCCGTTCTGAAGACAGGCACGCAAGTGTCAGTTTGCAACCATATAGCTAGTGCTGTTGAGTTGTCCGACGAACAATACCGATCAAAAGAACATTTGGGTGGGTCGCGCAAGTACTCAAACTGTCAGAACGCAGATGACTGGTGATAAAAAAGCACGACAAGTCTCACACGGTCCTTACACTAACAATAATATAAAATAATAAAAATGTCAGCAAATAAATAAAAAAAAATGTCAAATAAAAAATAAAAATGTCACACTATGTGATCATGTCATTGTATAAAAAAAAAATAAACGTAATGTCAAATTGTATATAAAAGTGTAACTTATGTTACAAACATGTCAACATGACCTGTGCAGACATTACAGCGGCTCATTCCCAAGCCTGACTATCCTCTAAGTAGTCTTTTATTTTATAAAATGCTTTACAGCAAAGTTTAGCCTTTATTACACTTTTAAATTTATTGAGGCTCAAATTTTGAATATCGCTAGGAATTTTATTGTAAAAGCGTATACATTGACACCTAAACGAACTACTTATTTTCTGAAGCCTGGAGGCAGGCACAACATATTTGTTTTTCCCCCTCGTGTTGATATTATGTATATCACTATATTTCTTAAATAAGCTTTTGTTTTTATGAGCGTGAATTACATTTTCATAAATATATTGAGAGGCAACTGTCATTATTTTAGATTCCTTAAATAATTCTCTGAGCGAATGCCTCGGACTAAGATTATAGATTGATCGAATAGCCCTTTTCTGCAGAACAAAAATAGACTGGATGTCAGCAGCATTCCCCCACAACAAAATACCGTATGACATGATGCTGTGGAAATAACCAAAATAAACTAACCGCGCTGTATCTATATCTGTTAAATTTCTAATTTTTTTAACGGCATATGCTGCAGAACTGAGCTTCTTCGACAAGCCATCTATATGTGGGCCCCACTGGAGCTTAGCGTCCAGGGTTATACCTAAAAATCACCATCAAGTAGAGTTTCATTCTGTATTTTCACTACATGATTTTTTTTTTTGTTCTCATATATTATTAATGTACCAAAGAATCTGTATGTGAAACTGATTGAAAAAGAGTAACCATGGAGTTTCTTGCTCGTTCTTCTCCATAGGAATCTACACTTTGGAACGAGCAAATAGCTTCACTAGAGGACTGACCGACAGACTGACACTTTTTACCTTAAAGCTTTGTTTGATCAAAAGTGCCTGTGAGGGTCTAATTGAAATAAATGATTTTGACTTTCGACATTCTTTTTATGACGATTTAGACTACAATATTGATTTAATGTTGAATATATGTTTTTGTAGTTTGGATAAAGCGACAAATATGTAGAATGATTACCTGATGGTAAGCAATCAGCGCCGCCCATGGGCACTCGTAATCCCAAAGGAGTTACTTCAAGTGCGTTGCCGGACTCTTGTGGGTTATTGAGGATTTAAGGATAGGGGATGGGGTAGGGGAGGATTGGGCCTCTGTTAATCCCAATAGGCGAAACACAACGCTGTAGTTGTGTCACGACGGTTTTCTGTGAGGCCGTGGTATCACTCCGGTCGAGTCGTAGCATGGCTTTCCCACAATTTTCTTTCCAAACTTTTAACTCAAAACTCACATGATGAAACAAAAGATAACTGATTTTTACGTAACGCGGTATTGAGTTACCGTTTCGTTGTTTGTTCATTAGATGGCGCTAGGGTCGATATTGATTTAGCTTTTCGATTGCCAAGTCACTTGTAATGTAAACAAAACTAATATAGCCACATAGTATTACAAATTAAGTTGAACAGGACTTGGCTTTTATGGGATCTCAACTTTTTAACGATGGGAGAATTGCGTGGAGGCTTGGCTTTTTTACATTAAATGTTTATTATGGTGGGTATTAATTATATATAGGTTTGATGTTTCACAAATTGACGAAAAAAGGGGGCTTCTTCTCACACGTAGCCATAGGCTCTGATCGGACGGCGAGCTACACTTGCTCGCCGACCGTAGACCAGCGCTCACGGTGGCCCTAAATTGTCGAGCGATTCTCACCCAAAAGTGTCTCCTGCGGTGTGGGGGCGTGTAGAGGACCGTTGCTTCATGAGCTCCGCCTCCTCCTTAGCTTACCAAGAACTATGGCTTCCCAGTTCCTCTTGCTTCACATCATGGCTCCTATAAAAGCCGGACGCGAGAAGTCGCCGATTCCGATCACTCCTCTGAGGATACGATGGTGCTAGACTCAATCTGAACATGTTGAGAAAACCTGGACTTATAATGTCTAATTATAAGTTTGAAATCGCCAACCCGCATTGAGCAAGCGTGGTGATTAATGCTCAAACTTTCTCCGTGTGAGAAGAGGCTTTTGCTCAGCAGTGGGCACTTATATCGAGGCGGATGATGTGAATGCAATAAAATTATTACGCCACGAACTGCAGAATATAAATTCAGCTGAGGGAGGTCGGCTCATCGAGCGTGTTGGATACGATGGTGGTTCATTTGGTAGAGCCGTGGATAAATCACTACATAGTTTAAAACAAAGTCGCTTTCTCTGTCCCTATATCCCTATGTACGCTTAAATCTTTAAAACTACGCAACGGATTTTGAAGCGTTTTTTATTGACAGCGATTGAAGAGAAAGGTTTATTTGTATAATAACATCCATTAGGTAAACAGTGATGAATTTAGTATCAGTTTTGCAGTGATGCGAAGCCGATGTGGGTTGGTAGTATAAATATAAAATTATAAGTCTTATAGTGATAATCAGAAGGATCATACAGGATGGCCCAAAAGTCGTGGATCAAACGCAACTAGGGGTTAGGTGGGGTCATCAGCTGCAAAAAGTGGTTCTACGGGAGGTCCTTAAGGTCAACCCCTGCAGAGTATAATTTATTTTGAGTTTTTATGAGAAAATTGACTATTTTTAACTAATTATTATTGAAATTCTAAAAAATCTATACATCTTGTATCTTTTTTATAATTTTCACTAGAAGTGTACTGATGAGTACTTGCCTTAGATATGCTATTTATGGTTGTTTATTGGATGTGTTCAAGATAACAATTCAGTTTTATCTGAATTGTCAATTTTCTCATAAAAACTCATTCATTCATTCATCATCATTTCGTCCGCAAACGAGCCTACATGTTACCTAACGGAAAGCAATCAGCGCTACCCATGGAAACCCACAACAACAGAAGAGTTACGAGTGCGTTGTCGACCTTTTAGGTATTAGGAATTTGGAGATTCAGGAATTGGGGAAGCGTAAGAAGGATTGGGCCTCCGGTAACCTCAGTCACATGGAGAAACACAACGCTTTTTTTTTACGGCGGTTTTCTGTGAGGCCGTGGTACTTCGGTCGAGCCGTGCTGAAGCATGACTCTCCCACATTTTACTGTTTGAGCAAGTCAACATATTTCTTTATATAAAAATGTTTTTAGAGGTATGAGAAACAGGGCGGAAAGTTTCTCATCCTCCATTGGAAAGGGAGGATCCTCCAACCAGGCGAGGTGTTCGTGCCTGGTGGGCTACTGCCCGACATTTGTTGTCGGGATCTTTATATTGAGCTTATTAGCGCGTAAATTTCACTTGCGCGATGTAGAATCTTGCACGTGATTGGTGCTGTTGTTCTTGTTGTGCGATAGATGTCGCTACATGTTTAAACCAGGTTTAAAAATACATAAGGATAATAATGTAGATATGCACATACCTAATATTATATAATACATAAGTTAATTATAATAGCAAAAGAGCTAAGTATGTGTCAGCGAATAATCTAGTTTTAATTAATTCTGTTTCTATGGTCATTTAATAAATTATTCCTGTGTTGGTATCCGCACCAACATTTTCCTTTTTAATAGATAAGTTTATAAGGAAACAATTACATGCAACTATGAGCTAATTAGATATTATTAGAAACAAATAGGTTTTCCTATCAAGTATTATTATGAATAAAAAATATCGAGACAGATTTTTCAGACAGCCATATTATTTGAATATATATATATGCAAATTTGGAAACTGCACATCTTTACTATATAATACTAGCTTCTGCCCGCTACTTTCCCACCGTGGTATGTTGATAAAAAAGTAGCCTATGCCCTATTCCAGTGTACGGTTAGGTACACATTGCGTAGGTAATTTGGTTGGGTCCAATCTTCAAAGTCTCGAGCACAGGCGCAGAGTAGCCAACCTTGCGGTTTTCCACAGGATTCATTTTGGAGAGTGTGCGCAGGAATTGCACGATTTGATTCTACCATCCCATTTTCAGTTGTGTTTCGCCGTGTGAGTGAGGTTCCCGGAAGCCCAATCCCTTCCCAATCCCTAAATCCCCAAAATCCTAATCCCTAAAAAAAAGCGGTTTTTTTCTTTCCTATCTGACTACTCTGAGAAGAAATGCCGAAACAAACTCAGAGATCAATCTCTTTGAAAGTTTAAAAGAAAAAATATATAAGGTAGATTTTGTTTTTATAATAACTATCGTGAGACTTATAAAATTAACTAAAAATCGCGGGTTACTCACGTGTAAATATTGAGAAAAGCTCTACTAGTTTCGAACCACAGAGGGGTTCTTCCTCATGAGCAGCGTGCGCGGACGCGGCGACGTCGCGCAGCCTACTAAACTAGTAGAGCTTTTCTCAATATTTACACGTGAGTAACCCGCGATTTTTAGTTAATTAAGATTGATTTTATGCATTCAATACCAAAAAGTCTTATTAAGCAGCAGTAATTTTTATCCAAATTCCTATATTTTTGGACAAGCCCATCTCTACCGCTGCAATGCCGTGTTGTGGAATTATTGCGGTTACTATTGAAAGAAAAAAATTAGAAGAACTTTGCCCCACACTAGGATTTTCTCCTGTGTCGTGGGTGCGTTTACAAACATACAATTCCACATACACATACAACCAGACCCGGAACCACAATTTGTGGATCACACAAAGTGTTGTTCCGTGCGGGAATCGTACCCGCGATTCGTTGCGCAGCAGCTAGTTGCCTAGCCACCGCGCCAACCGTGCAGTCGAATTAAAACAACGCTTCTCACCAACTGTAGCTGTCGTCATGCTTTTTCGCCATGTGGATGCTGGAGATCCAATCCCATCTCTAAGTCAGAAATCTTCAAAAGGCCCACAACGCAATTGTAACTCCATAGCCACCACCAACTGCCACAATTTGACATAACTATACATATATTCTCGTGTGGTTTCCTTATATAATTTATTTTTACTTTTTAAATAATTTTAAGTTAATTTAAATTTTCGCCTTTGCTTCTTCCAACCCCTCCAAAATGGTAGAAATAAAAGTTGTGAGGGATAATATTATTAAAAATATTTCAAACATAGTAAATAACATTTTACAAGAACAGATCAATTAAAACTCTATGTAAGTATTTTTACTGTTTATATAAAAAAAAAGTAATCAGGATGGACCTAGTATGCTCCCTTGCGGAATTCCGAAATCAGAGGCGATATCTCAGTAGAATTGGGACAGCAAGTGTCAAACGCCTTTTACAGGTCAATAAAAAAATACTGAAACACTTTAGAGTTTAGACCTATCTACCCTATCCTGAATAGGAACCAGGAAGCTATGTAGTTGGATGCGACAAAGGAAAACTGCAGTCTAATTAATTATAAATTTATTGATTAAGCGCTACATCAAGGTCATTATATGCACAGATAAGAAATAACTATAAAAGTGCCAACGCAGACTCGGAAAGCGTTGTGCTTCAGTGGCAACGTTGCGGATACACTTTTCATCAGCTATCCAGCTTGATCAGCTGTTCCGAAAGAAGGATTGAGACAAAGAATAACTCCGAAGAAAAGATGACTACAGTCGAAAACCCGGTGAGTATTTTTTATATTTTTCAATGTTTTCCTTTGGAATGAAAATGATGTTTTTTTTATTCCCTGAGAGAAAATCCAGAGTATGTCTCTGTATCTCTTCAGAGAATAAAACAATGGAGCCATTTGGCTACATAAGCTTCAAAATAGGTAAAAGTGCAATAAATTTTATAGAATAATAGATAGAATAAACGTTTTTTTTTCTATGTAATAGATCGGCAAACGAGCAGACGGATTACCTGATGGTAAGCAATCAGCGCCGCCCATGCACACACGCAACGGAGGAGTTACGAGTGCGTTACCGACCTCTTAGGGATTATGGTTTTGGAGATTAAGGGATTGGGGAGGGATCGGGGGAGGGGAAGGATTGGGCCTCCAGTAACCTCACTCACACGGTGAAACACAACGCTGTGGATGTTTCACGCCGGTTTTCTGTGAGGCCGTGGTATCACTCCGGTCGAGCCGACCCGTTCGACCCGAAGCATGGCACGAATGGGTCGGCATGAAGAATAAACGTGTTAATAAATCAATAATTATTTTGATACTTCCAGAAAATTCCCTTCACGGGCATCATTCCTGGAGGTATGTACCCCGGCCGCATAATATCACTGAAGTGTGGCATCCTTCCAGCAGCAAACAGGTGAGTTCATGTTGAAACAGTTACTACTCCCAAATATCATAATAATCCCAAAAGCACTCGGGCCGGTATCCAGCCGGAGTTGTCAAAAAAATAATGACTAAATCATTTATTTCAATTAGACCCTTACAGGCACTTTTTTATATGATAAACGAGCAGACGGATTACCTGATGCTAAGCAATCAGCACCCCTAATGGAGATCCGCAACAATAGAGGAGTTACGAATGCGTTGCTGATGATTTGGGGATTAGGGATTTGGAGATTTTGTTATTGGAGAGAGATTAGGAGAGAAAGGAATGGGCCTCCTGTAACCTCACTCACACGGCGAAACACAACGCTGTGGTTGTTTCACGACGGTTTTCCGTGAGGCCCTGGTACCACTCCGGTCGAGCCGAACCATTCGTGCCGTATCATAGTACTCCCCCGTTTTATACTTGTAGACCTACTACTAACGGTTTATTAATTTTGGAAACCAACTTCTTGTCCACAGATTTGCGATAAACTTCCTATGTGGTAGCAGAGACATCGCGTTTCATTTCAACCCTCGCTTTGATCAGAACTACATTGTGCGCAATTCTTGCATCGAGGGGTCGTGGGGAGCGGAGGAGACCAGTGGAGGGATGCCGCTGGTTAAAGGAGAGGCGTTTGAAGCTGCAATCAAGTGCTTCCATGATTGCTTCAAGGTAACCAGTACTTAGGGGTTATTGGAATGCTAAAATTTGAACATCTGATTAAAAAAATTGGCTGAGTGGTGTCCCAGAGGTAAAGGCGCCTTCACTTCTCATACGGCTTCGAAACCTGGCAAGTACCAATGTTACTTTTTTCGAGTTATAGGTACATACCTATTACTTTCTATGATTATTTAGACACCGCTGACATACGGTGAAGGCAAGTGAGAAAACCTGGAGTAATCTATTTAAATGAAATCAAATCAAATCGTTTATTTTTTATAATATGTCAAAATTATATATTGGAGCTTCAACACATTCTACTTTCCGGCATGCAAAAGAAAAATATTTTTATAAGCGTGGTGATTAATGCTCAAATTTTAATCTTCTCCATGTGAGAACAGGCCTTTGGTCAGCCGTGGTCATTTAGAGATCAGCCTATAAGTGACCAATGCTGAGCAAAGTAATTTTTTTTATTTAGCAGCGTTATTTTACCAGGTTTGTTTAACTGCCAGTCGCCGTAAACCAATCGAGACGTACGACTCTCAACTTAAAATCGTACCACTACGAAGCCGCCCCAACCTTTCTCCCGACAGCCGGGGTTGCGGGGTAAGCGCAATGAGGCACCGCGACCTCGGCACAGAGCAGGAGAAGGAACAGGGGGGTTTTTAGTCAGTAAGAGTCTGACACTCCGTCCTGCCCGGCCCTGGGCGGGAGAAGGCATTTGATGATTTTCCCCTCACAAAAAAAACCTTTCTCCTGAAATTTCGTTTCGGTTTATCCTTAATGTTCGCGTGATTAGTAACAGAATTGACTTTAGTGGAGTCCAGGAAACTCTGATGTCGTAACAGTAGTTTACGTTAAAATCCATCCTCAGACAAATAATAGTACGCGAGCAACTACTAAAAGTTCTGTGATACACCGCCATCTATCCTGCAGATAAATAAACATTGACACAATACTAATTTCAAAAACCCCCACTAGGTGTCGTTGAATGGGAAACATTTCTGTGACTTTGCCTTCCGCGTCCCGTACAGCAAGATTACCCATTTCAACGTGGAAGGTGACGTCATGGTGCAGAGGATTGCCTACGAGGGTCCCGCGCCTCCTCCTGAAATTGCAATGGTAAGCTACATTATTTTCGAGAGACGATCTCCGGCCGCCGTAAGTGAGCCAAAAGACCACCGCACACGAGGCCCTATAAGGCTGATGTTCAGCTAGGGTCGCGAGTATAGTATATTGATTTTTATTGCAAATGCTATATTTTATTTATTAATTTTCTTATTTTTTTTTTCGTTACAGCTTGCTGCTTCCGTGCAGTGATAAAATACAGGTACATACAAATATTTATTTATATTATAGTACTCAAAAGGTCTAATCTTTTATTTCAAATAGATCACCATGGACACCTTTGAACGTTAAACACAATTGTTTAATTTCAACAAGTTCAACTTTGTGTTTGTGCGTCGGTCTGTCCTCCAGTGAAGCTATTTGCTCGTTCCAAAGTGTAGATTCCTATGGAGAAGAAAGACAAGAAACTCCATGGTTACTCGTTTTCAATTAGCTTCACAATTAATTTCTTTATGTAAGTATATGTTTTTATGGGATAAGGAGGCAAACGTGCAATTGTAGCATATAACAGTAAGCAGTAGGTATGGCACAAGGAAACCAGAGGTATTCCAAGATAAGGCCTCCGCTGAATTCTCCATCTCCGGAATATTTCTGCCATTTCCATTCCCATTAAGCCATAGTATCACTCAGATCGAGCTAGCGCATCAGATCTGAAGTTTTTTTTTTTATGTAATAGGTCGGCAGACGAGCAGACGGATTACCTGATGGTAAGCAATTAGCGCCGCCCATGGACACTCGCAACGGAGGAGTTACGAGTGCGTTGCTGACCTTTTAGGGATTAGGGATTTGGAGATTGAGGAGGGATTGGGGAAGGGGAAGGATTGGGCCTCCGGTAACCTCACTCACACGGCGAAACACAACGCAGTGGTTATTGCACGCCAGTTTTCTGTGAGGCCGTGGTATCACTCCGGTCGAGCCGACCCATTCGTGCCGAAGCATGGCTCTCCCACACTTAAAGTATTGGCCAACTCCATGAATAAAAAAATTGAGACAATTAAAATAACATTAAACCTTCTGTTTTTGTCTTACAGGTCATCCGCTGGTTAAGAAGAGATGCTTGAAACTGACATTACTTATTTAAATATTTTTCTTTTAACCTATTTTGTATTGTTTTTCTTACAGTCTCAAATTTCTTGCATTGTACGATTAATGTAATAGTGAATAGGACTTGTTTTGTTATTATAGCTAATTGATCTGTTACATTGAACTGGGGAAATGTCACTTCTGTTCATACCTTTAAGGAATTAAAGCCGTGATGGTATATATGTGTTGTCCTATTACTCATTATGGTTCGAGTGTTTCTCTTCTTTTAATAAAAATCAATTCGCTTTTTTCATTTGTTTCTTTATTACCTACCTTAAGTTCTAAAAACAACTCCGGGTTGCGGGTTAAGCGCAATGAGTCACCGCTGCCTCGGCCAAGAGCCAGAGAACGAACAGGGGGGTTTTTAGTCTGTAAGAGTCTGACTCTCTCGCCTTACCCTGGGCTGGAGATGTCATTTGATGATTTTCCCTGACAAAAAAGGTGTAGATCCAGTGTGAATAGTGTCATGCACAGAGTGCATTATTATAACTGCCATAGAACGAGATGCCATAGTCAACGCTATCAAAGGTTTTTAAAAAAAGGTATGTACGACTGCTTTTAAGCCCATGATTTTGGGTTTTGTGTAAAATAGGTGGTGGCCCGGAGGTTAAGGAGCCCGCTTCACATGCATGAGGGTTTGGGTTCGAAACCTGGCAAGTGTCAATGTGACTTTTCCCGAGTTATATGTACTTTCTATGATTATTTAGACACCACTGACATGCGGTGAAGGTAAACATCGTGAGGAAACCTGGACTTATAACTTCTTATTATAAGTTTGAAATCGCCAACCCGCATTGAGCTAGAGTGGTGATTAATGCTCTAACCTTCTCCGTATGAGAAGAGGCATTTGCTCAGCAGTGGGCACTTATAGGCTGATGATGATGATGATGATGATGATGATGATGTAACATAGGAAATAAACGTATCGTGTGTTGGCTTACAAACATACAACAGGCCACATGGGCGATAATAAAAGATAAAATATTTTTTTGATTTATCAAAAGCATTCGATTTGGTTTCTCATGACAATCTGTTGCAGAAATTAGAAACTAATGGGATTAGGGGACCTGCGCTCCAGTGGTTAGCGTCATATTTGAGTGATAGAAAGCAATGTGTCATTATCAATAAAAAAAAAATGAAAATAATGACATAATATCCTACTCATCAGAATATAGTTACAATAAATATGGCGTTCCGCAAGGAAGCGTCCTGGGCCCAATATTATTCCTCATTTATATTAATGACATCATAAATATAACTAACCATGAATGCATATTGTTTGCCGATGACATATCTATTATTGTGACATCTAATAAAAAATATAATACCATTTCAGATCATCAGCTTGACATTAATAATACAATTGACAAACTACTACATTGGCTTGACATTAACCATTTCAGAATAAATTTAGATAAATCAGTGTTCATTCAATTTAACCAATCAAATAATCATAAAAACGACATTAAACTCAATATCAATAAAATCACAGAAGTTACGCATACAAGATTTTTGGGTGTAATTATAGACAAAGACATTAACTGGAAAGAACACATAGACAATGTTACAACAAGAATCAATAAATTTGTATATGCACTAAAACAAATAAAAAACGTAACTAATGTAAAAACTGCTGTAACTTCATACCACGCATACGTTGAATCGTTATTACGTTATGGGCTGGTAATGTGGGGTAATAGCACTGACTTCCAGAGAGCATTCATTGCTCAAAAAAAGTGCATGAGATCAATTTGTGGACTCAAACCTGATGACTCATGCCAACCAATATTTAGAAAACTTGGCCTGTTACCGTTACCGTCACTTTATGTTTACGAAATAGGTATGTTTGTAATGAAAAATATACAATTGTTTAAGACTGCAAATGATGTGAACCCTCGAAACAGACGAGATCCATATAAACTAGTGTTGAATGATTTGCCTCGATTAGCCAAGTATAATAAAAACTGCCTAGCAATGTGTGTGCGCATTTATAATAAAATACCGAGCCATTTTAAAGCTTTAAATTTTAAATTATTTAAAACAAAATTTTATAATTGGTTGCTTGAACATAGTTTTTATAGTCTAAAAGAATTTTTCGATAAAAAGTTTTAATGTATTGTAATTGTTAATTAATTATGTGTTTGTGATTTTAAAAATTTGCATGCTTTGTCATAACTTAGCTGAACATGTTTGTGCTATACATATAATATTTAACACCTTTTTATACCATGTTTTATGCAAATAAATATATTATTATTATTTCATTGCTCTTTCCTTTCACGGGACCACAGGGTCCCGGACCTTTGGAAGGCGTACGAGGAGCCGAAGCCAACTCGCAGAGGCCCGTTGAACAGTTTTAATCTAAATGTGATGGGACATCAGCCGGCAATTATCCCTGTATGCACTATAAAAGTGCATCCAAGGACAATCCCCGGTTGATGCAGGACTATTGTAAAATGTGGTAAAAATTGATAGGGTTATAGGTATGGGTTGCTATGGACTGGTGGATATGATAACTATGGAAACACTATGGCCCCTGCCCCTGACCAATATTGATACATACGGATAAACAGGCAGGGGGTGACTGGCAAACTCAATTAATGGGCCCCCGGAAACGGCCGCTAGCATGTAGCGACACGGGGGCAACATACGTTGAGCTGCTTGGGGAAGGAGAGGCATCCCACGGCTATCAGAGCAATCCCGGAAGTACGGTCAAGACCCCTACCAGCACCTTACTGAGACACATCCTTCCCCCGAGTCTCCTTCAACTCCTACTCTTGCGAATCTCCACTCAAGCCAGCCAATTAAGGCAAGAATGAGGTAGGAGGGCTTGTTCTTCATCAGTTTTCACTCCAGCTCGTCACGAGGACTAACCGGAGGTGAAGAACAAGACACCTCCCGGGAGTCAGGTCCGTGGGGTCGCCACTGCCCAACAGCTCGCCACAAGCTGCCTTGCGGATTTATTATTATGTTTGTTTTATTATTATTATTATTATAATAAATTCCTCTAAAACTGCCGTCCATGTGGATAATATTAAGCAAGTAAACATGGTTCTCACACACCTTCAGGAAATCGCTACTGCTTTTAACAATCACTGCACACACATAGAACTTACAGCACACCCAACACATAGCACTCATCATATTAAATCACAAAATAATTATAAAAGTAGTCGGGGTATAAGTAACACAATCTTTCTTAAACCCATGACACTAAGTGAAGTTAAACAGGAAATAATGACACTTAACAACACTAATACAGAGGGCTATGATGAAATTAATACAAAAGTAATAAAAACATTTATAAATGAATTACAAGAAATTGTCACATATCCGATAAATTTGAAATGTGGAATCTTTTTTGATGCATAATAAAAAACATGAGCCATGTTTCCACAGGTCTAGAAGGACACAAAAATTAAACGCTAAATAAACTTATTTTTAACATTTGTCTTTATTTACTTTTAAATATTACAAAATACAAAAACAAAAACTATTAAATCATTCATAACGACGTATGAAGTCATAGAGAAAAGCTCGACTAGTTTCAAGCTACAGCGGGACTCTTATTCATGAGCAGCGTGAGCGTCGCGGCGACGTCGCGCAGCCGACTGATTCTGTCGAGCATATCTCAGTCCATTCATGTGAGTAATTCGTTATTTTTTAATTTAGTAATTAGGTACTTTGCAAAAAACCTTTCTTGAATACTATAGAGCCTATTTTGTCGGCAGTATTTGCAGGATGGATGACAGTTGCAATGCAATATATAGAAGAGTAAATAAGATTTCCAGCATCGTCTTCTTTATTTAGTAAGGACCTGAAAAAGGGAAAATCAATAAGAACTTGTTTATATCCAAACTAACATTATAAATGCGAAAATAACTTTATCTGTCTGTCTGTGTTTTCTTTACGTCTAAACTAATGAACCGATTTCTGTGATATTTGGTATAGACGTAGTTTGGAAATCGAGAAAGGACACAGGGTAGTTCTTATACCAAAAATCTGCAGGAAGTCACTATTCCACGTGAACGGAGTCGCGGGCAAAAGCTATAACCGATTTATTTTGTGGCGACGCGCGACGTGTGTCTAATTGTTTAAGTGTGGGAGAGCCAAGCTTCGACCGGAGTGATACCACGGCCTCACAGAAAAACGACGTGAAACAACCACAGCGTTGTATTTAGAATTTTGACGTTTCAAAAGTACCTGTTTATGGTTTAGCAGGTATAAATGATTTTGACTTTGACAAGAGGACAATTTAAAAAATGCAAATAAAAGTAAATAATGCCCTTAATGCCCATATCTACTGGGGAATGAACTTACCGCAAACTTCTTCAGAACTGTGAGGTTTGCCAGGCTGAAAGAAAACAGGAGGACATGAGTAAATATGTACTTATATCAATTGCACTAAAACAAGAAAGACAGAAAGAGACAAAAAATCATTTATTTGGCTCAGGACATGCTGCATAACGTCGTGATGGCTCGAAGGTTAGGGCACCCGCGTCTCATACATGAGGGTTCGAAACCTGGCAAGTACCAATGTGGCTTTTTCCAACTCATATGTACTTTCTAAGTTATTAAGACACCACTGACATACGGTGAAGGAAGACATCGTGAGGCAGAAAAATTTTATAGTTTTTAAAGTTTGATGTCGCTACCCGCAAGCGTGGTGATAAAAGCTCAAACTTTCTCCGTATAAGAAGAGGCCTTTGCTCAACAGTGAGTGCTTATAGACTGATGATGTGATGATGCCGCACAAAGCACCAAAGATATGTATGTTGTCGCGTTTAGGTGCGTTTAGGGTTATCTTTAAGTTAGAGATAATTGAAACGCAGCGCTAACAACATTTAAGTTTTTTTTTTATTTTTTATTTCGGGTCGTAGGTAGGTAAAAAAAATTGCCGGTCTTAATATTTTCGTCTATGGAGGTAGACGCGCTAGGTACTCTCCTGGCCTGACGCAACTTTAGCGGTCACGTCGTCACGGAGACCGGAGAATAAGCGCCCACTGGAAGTCGTCCTGCAGGGTCGTAGATGATGGAGAGGCAAAGTGCAGCAGAAAGAGAAGATGTCCTTGTTCGAACTTGGGCTGCTGGTGGTCGAACCCGAACTTTGGACCCTGGAATGATCCAGACGCGGAATGAGTTTAGGGTCTTCCGACTTATCCTCGTCTGACTGTGACCGCGACAGCGTAAGCGTGAGGCAGAAGATGTACTATTGCGATTAAGGCGAATGTGTGCAAGTCACAGTCAGAATCGGAGCAAACTACAGAAGAATTTTTACAGTGGTACATTGATATAAATGAATACTACTTTAAAACATATTAATAGAAGGTACTAAAACACATTACAAGAAATGAACAAACACTATAGAAGGAAATTCTAATAGGAAGGAAAAAAATCTATTCACGTAATGGCCGCAACCAGCATGATTAAGCAGAAATTAAATAATTGTCAACACTTACCCAATATGGAGTTAACACTGAATTTATATATTAGAGGAATAACGCCCACGTATGGATGACACGCTAAGTTATTAAAACTATCTTCGGTACTTTTAAGGAGCGCGTAAACGTGTGTACGTTACAGTTGATGTGTGCCGTCTGTCCCTGGCCGGTGGCACGGCAAAGACAAAAAAAAAAAAAGAAATATGACTGGCAAATTTAATTTGATCATGTGAGGGTGATCTTAACAATTTATTTTTTTTATTTTTCGATAGTATGACTACCGACACAAACGGGGAACAGGTTAGCGAGTTGGAACCAAAATGCAATGACGTGACGATTTGCCTTAAATGCCTTTACTTAACATAGAAATAAGTATTGTTCACTTTATTGTTCATTTAGTGCTATTGTTTTTTGTATGTACTATTGTATAGGAGTTATGTTAAGTTAATATTTAAAATGTGCGCCTGTACATACATTGACAATTAGTGTGCGTGTGTGTAAATTTGGTATTAAAATTTTGACAGGAGCGTTGAGTTAAGTATACTACGTTACAATACCCCCGCGCGCAGATAAGGATTTTATTATTTCTTAAAATAAATAAAATCCGCTCATAACCAAAGCCAATCTATTTGTTTATTCTTTCATAAAAATCATCTTTTACCTCAATCATACTTCTCGCTCAATACACATTAGCGGCAGTTAATGTATACTCATTACTAAATTAACTTACGCTGACAATGACATATAAATAGGTAACCAGCTATACTTGAATTCTTGTTACCTGACAAATAGTGGTTCCGAATTATGATGTAAATTAAACGTTAGGGGGGTAATTGCTTTAATAAAACTAAATGTATTTAAGACAAAAAAAAACATTCTCAAGTACGCCCTGCTAATTTCAGGTCTTTGATGTGCCAGGAGCCTATATTTTTGCCTGACATGTCCTGCAGCACATAAACTAAAGGGGACTTCTTTTCTATAATCTTGGCCTTAATGAATTTCGGTGCCAACTTCTTAGAAAACCGGCTCTCTTTGTCGCTTAAAAAATAAGCGCGTTTCATAACTACGTCTCCAACGTTAAATTCGGCAAATTTACGCCGCAAATTATAATGAGACGTGTTCTTTACATGAGCTTGCCATAATCTTGACTGGACATTGTTAAAGATTGTAGAAAGACAGCCTAAATTTTCAGCGTAAACGTCGCGTGGTAGGAATAGTATTTTTTCTCCAAGATCGTTATCTATGAAGTGGGAACCACACGTAACAAGCTCACGTCCGAAGACTAAGAAGGAAGGTGTGTACCCGGTGGCCTCGTTAACAGAGTTATTAATTGCAAACTGTACTTTAGGTATATACAAATCCCAGGATCTGTGATCATCTTCGACAAAAGTAGAAATGCAGGTAATGATGGTTCTGTTGTACCTTTCAACTAAATTTACCTGAGGGGTATATTTAGGGGTGTAATGAACATTTGGTATGTTATATTTTTTAAACAGAGCCTCTGCTACCTTGCCGGTAAACTGGGTGCCATTATCCATAAGTACAGTTTGAGGTATGCCGTGGACTAGAAAGACGGATTCCTCCAATATTTTAGTAATGATATCAGAAGTGGCCTTTTTTATAGGAAAAATTAAACAAAATTTGGAAAAACAGCAAGTGACGACTAATATATGACTATTTTGTTTTTTAGTAGTAGGTAGGGGACCCATGAGATCGATGGAGATCATTTGAAATGGTCTGGAACATTGTTTAGGACGACCTAATTCTCCAAGAACCTGATGATTTTGGGACTTGTAGGCTAAGCATTTATCGCAAGTACCAATAAATTTAACGACGTCCTGATACATGCCAGGCCAATAATAACGTAATGCCAGGCGTCGGTAAGTTTTGAAAATACCCATATGTCCAGCTGTAGGCTCGGAATGGTTTTCTTTAATAATTGCCTCGTGTAGTTCAGTAGGAACGACCTCCTTCCACGAAAACTCAGAAGTAAGTTCAGAATTACCCTTAGATAACCTAAACAAAATATCATTTTTAATTATAAAGTTTGGGAACTTGGAGGGGTCGTTCAAACATCCATTATAAATCTTTTTGTACCAACAGTCATTAGTGTCCAAATGAGATTTGGAAGTACTGATGGCACTAACAGGAGCAATTCTAGACAAGGCGTCCGGTATGACATTATCAACTCCTCGGCGGTGCTTAATTTCGAAATTAAAGGAAGATAAACGAACGCCCCACCGAGCTAGACGGCCAGTAGGGTTACTTAGGGAAAGGAACCATTTAAGAGCACTATGATCAGTATATACTGTGAACGATTGACCATTTTCTATATAGCATCGCCAGTGCTCAAGAGCGGTAAGGACGGCTAACGTTTCGCGTTCGGTTATGCTGTAATTTTTCTCAGCTGCAGAAAGTGACTTACTCATGTATGCAATTGGGTGTTCCTTGCCATCTATAGTCTGAGTAAGCATTGCACCAACGCCATAACTACTTGCATCTGTATGCACTTCAAAAGGCTTGGTATAGTCCGGACATGAAAGAACTGGTGCCGAAACCAAGCACTCTTTAAGTTTTTGGAATGCAGAGTCGGCTTCTGGAGACCATTTGAAAGAAGGAGTGCCTTTTTTGGACGACGTTAATTTATTTAACGGTCCCGCAATATCACTAAAGTTTGGAACAAAACGTCTGTACCACGTCGCGGTTCCAAGAAAACGTTTGAGGTCCTTGCGACAAGTAGGTGTAGGGTAGTTAAGTATGGCCTCAACCTTGGCTGGATCAGTACGTAACCCAGACTCGTCAACGACATAGCCTAAATATTTTAATTGAGAACTGAAGAAATTACATTTTTCAAGATTAATGGTTAAGTTAGCTTGTTTTAATTTATCTAAAACTCGCAAAAGAAGTGTCACGTGACTATTAAAATCGTTGGATATAATTATTACGTCATCTAGATAAGCAAAAACTTTGAGATCAAATTCCGAAAAGAGCAAATCGACTAGTCGTTGCTGGGTAGCTGGTGCGTTAGTGAGGCCAAAAGCAGTGCGTTTGAAACGAAAAGTGCCCCTACCAGGAACATAAAAAGCGGTCTTGTCACGATCCTCTGCAGCGATAGGAATTTGCCAGAAAGCCTTGGACAAATCGATGCTAGATAGGTAGCGAGCATCTCGTAGGTTGTCCAAAATCTCGGATATGTACGGGAGATTATAAGCATCGCGTTTAGTAATTGAATTCAGCTTGCGACTGTCCAAACAAAACCGAGGTTGGCCGTTCTTTTTGGTAACGATTAATACAGGAGACGACCACGCACTCTCACAAGGCTCGATAACGTCGAGTGAAAGCATCTCGTCAACCTGTTCGACCAAGATCCGTTGCTTTTCAGGCGAAAGGCGGTAGTACCTCTGACGAATCGGTTCCGAGTCACCAGTATCGATCCGATGCGTGATAAGACTTGTGACACCTAGACCCTTGCGATTGAAAGAGATTTCCTCATACTGTTTCGTAATATTGTCAGCCAGTTGTTTTTGTGACTGATCTAAATTCGCATAACCTTGTATGAACGACTGATGTGAACTGTCCAAGGAACAATTGTCAGGTTTGGCCATAGCAATGCTACCTATATACTTAGGACATAATTTAAATTTACGCCAAAAATCAATGCCCAAAATTAAGTTTTTATTAATTTCCGGAATTACGTAAGCTTTTAAAATATGAAACTGGTTTTCGAAATTAAGTGGAATATTAATATAACCTACACTCTGTATATTCTGACCTCCGGCCGCCGTTACTGTGATACAATCCGCTTTGACAAGTGGCAAGCCATACTTTTCTAGAACTAAATGAGCACCATTACCCAAAATTGTGACAGCTGAGCCAGAATCTAACAGTCCTGAAACTGTGAGACCATTGATCTGAACAGAAACGTAGGGTCTGTCATCGAGATCACGTTTATCACCGAGAACTGTGCAAATGTTGTAAGATTCAAAAAATAATTTAATAGTATGTAGCCAAGTTTGCCAATCTTTGCTATCAAAGTTTTTATTATGACCACAGTTCTCGATATTTAGTTTTTTGGCTTGATTTGTGTCTCTTTGCCACAATCTGGGCAGTCTGGCGCTTTAACACCTTTACGGCCACATTTAAAGCAAACCAACTCGTCTCTATTAGCTTTACACTGCCTTAAATTATGCGTGTTATTACGACAACGAGGACAGTAACGCTGCTTAGTGCCAGAACTAGGAGTGTTCACTGCATGTACATAATTAGGAGCTGAGTGAGATGTATTATTATTATTACTATTTGTAGCATATTTGCTATTACAATTTCTATTTGATTGACCCACGTAAGCAAATTCAGGTGCTAGGGTAGTCGAGCTCGGCTTTGGAGGCTCTTTGAATTGAGAAAACCGTGCTTGAATGCTCTCAAAGTTACGGCACAAGTTTCGCAACTCATCAATAGATTTGACCTCGGCGGCAGAGGAAAGAGTATTAGCATAAATTGGGCGAATATTGTGGAGTATAATTTCCAATTTATCCTCTTCTGAAACCTTCTTCGATAATCGCGAAAAAAGTCCAGCCATAATGGAAAGGTAAATAACTATGTTTTCGCTTTCTCCTTGTGTGCGAGACCTAATTTCTGAAAGCAGTCTGTAGTCATAGTCAGACTGGTCGAAATCACGCCTCAGCGACAATGCAAGTTCGTCCCAACTCAGAACCGAATCTTGGATACTCCTGTACCAGTGCAACGCATCGCCGATAAATATTTCAGTGGCATTCGTCAATATTTTATTGCATGAGATATTTTTCGCTTTGCAAAGTTCCTCACAACGTTGAATGAACGCTCGCACGCAAGACTTGCCGTCATATTTTAATTTTGCAAATTTATTAAGATTACCCTCACAAGTGACGGTGACATTAAGAGGTGTCGAAGCAATAGAGGGAGAAGTATCGTTGCTAGACACAGTTACAGCCAAAGGATCTACAGCAGAATCATTAAGAGTGATGAGTTTTGCTGCTGTCTTTTTATAAAAACTGACACATTGATCATAGCTGTCCTTTAACTTTTCATCGCAAGCAATACGGTTTAGCCGGTGATATAAGTGGTTGAGTAAGTTTTGTGTGCGTAGTAATGTGTTCTTGTCTAAAGATGTTGATTCTAATATAAGGTTAGTTTTTTCAAGAACATCTACAACACCATCTAAATCGACAGCTGGGTCAAAAGGGCTAGTTAAAATGTCCTCTGACGGAAACAATGGACCGCATTTAGCAATTTGTTTGCGCAATTCTTGTACAGTGGCAGCTGGTGTTTCACCTCTAATGGCAACTTCGTACTCAAGCTCAGCTTTTTGCAAAGACATAAATTTCACAGGAAATACCATAATTAACACGGTAAAAAAAATTTCGTTGGGTAAATGTTGACAACTCCAGCACGTGAAAAAACAATAAGAACAAAAAAAAAGCAAATTACTCCGTCTGTTACAATTTTAAATTAAAATAAATAACGTCTTGGTTGTTTTTTCATGAAAATAAAAGCAGCAAAATTAAAAGCGTTAAAAAAATTGCAATCTAAAACAAATATAGACAAAACGAAAAAATTAAATTGCAACTAATGTGTACATTAAACAAATAGTAACAAACTATTAAAAAAAAATAAGTTACTCGTAGTACTTGTTAACAAAACTTTGTTGCTGACTGTACCGACTCCGCACGGGGTAAGAGCGCGGTTAACATTAAAATATAAAATAATTCAAAAATAAAAGAAAGTAAAAAATACAACGGTATTCAAGATGTCTGGTTTTATACTAAAACCACTACAATTTATTTTTTTTTATTTTATTTTTTTCTTTTCTGGAACAATGTAATATGATTGATTTTACAGTGCAACATAAAAAAATACTTGCAAACTAGGTATTTCGTACACATTAGTTACCATGCAACCAAAATAAAATAATAAACGTTTTACAAACACAAAACAAGAGACAATACACAAAATGCCAAAAACACGACTACCTCCACAGAAAAGGAAAAAAATTAAGACCTTTATGAAAACCACGTTGGGCGCCAGTGTCGCGTTTAGGTGCGTTTAGGGTTATCTTTAAGTTAGAGATAATTGAAACGCAGCGCTAACAACATTTAAGTTTTTTTTTTATTTTTTATTTCGGGTCGTAGGTAGGTAAAAAAAATTGCCGGTCTTAATATTTTCGTCTATGGAGGTAGACGCGCTAGGTACTCTCCTGGCCTGACGCAACTTTAGCGGTCACGTCGTCACGGAGACCGGAGAATAAGCGCCCACTGGAAGTCGTCCTGCAGGGTCGTAGATGATGGAGAGGCAAAGTGCAGCAGAAAGAGAAGATGTCCTTGTTCGAACTTGGGCTGCTGGTGGTCGAACCCGAACTTTGGACCCTGGAATGATCCAGACGCGGAATGAGTTTAGGGTCTTCCGACTTATCCTCGTCTGACTGTGACCGCGACAGCGTAAGCGTGAGGCAGAAGATGTACTATTGCGATTAAGGCGAATGTGTGCAAGTCACAGTCAGAATCGGAGCAAACTACAGAAGAATTTTTACAGTGGTACATTGATATAAATGAATACTACTTTAAAACATATTAATAGAAGGTACTAAAACACATTACAAGAAATGAACAAACACTATAGAAGGAAATTCTAATAGGAAGGAAAAAAATCTATTCACGTAATGGCCGCAACCAGCATGATTAAGCAGAAATTAAATAATTGTCAACACTTACCCAATATGGAGTTAACACTGAATTTATATATTAGAGGAATAACGCCCACGTATGGATGACACGCTAAGTTATTAAAACTATCTTCGGTACTTTTAAGGAGCGCGTAAACGTGTGTACGTTACAGTTGATGTGTGCCGTCTGTCCCTGGCCGGTGGCACGGCAAAGACAAAAAAAAAAAAGAAATATGACTGGCAAATTTAATTTGATCATGTGAGGGTGATCTTAACAATTTATTTTTTTTATTTTTCGATAGTATGACTACCGACACAAACGGGGAACAGGTTAGCGAGTTGGAACCAAAATGCAATGACGTGACGATTTGCCTTAAATGCCTTTACTTAACATAGAAATAAGTATTATTCACTTTATTGTTCATTTAGTGCTATTGTTTTTTGTATGTACTATTGTATAGGAGTTATGTTAAGTTAATATTTAAAATGTGCGCCTGTACATACATTGACAATTAGTGTGCGTGTGTGTAAATTTGGTATTAAAATTTTGACAGGAGCGTTGAGTTAAGTATACTACGTTACAATGTATACCAATAATAAGAACACCTGACTGTCATGCAGTGGAATCTAATGCTAGAATTTGTTTCCCGAAAGGTGTCTTCAAGGCTGGATTGAATAGGTTACTCGCTCACTTATCACCAAACGAAATAAAATAATAGAGAGTATAATTTTATGCTTTGGCACGAATGGGTCGACTCGACCGAAGAGACCACGAAAGACCACGGCCTCAAAGAAAACCGACGTGAAACAATCACAGCGTTGTGTTCCGCTGTATGGCCTATAGTATAAGTAAATGTTTTATTAAAGGTTGTAACTTATTATAGTTGTTTTTGTTATTTATTGCTTTGTATTATATTATCATCATTGTACTTATGTTTGGTGCTTTATGCGGCATGTTCGGTGTCAAATAAACTATTTTCCTTTCTTTCTTTCTGATCCACGTATGAGTCAGGCTTCGTATACAAAAAATACTCACAATGTACTCCAGCGGTGGTGGAATCCCTTCGAAGTCGATCAACTGTATCGAGACATCATAGCTAATTGTGATGTGGGAGATCCTATGGAAGGGCACGCGGTGCTTGAAGTCGCAGAAGTGTTGCCCATTCAGTAACACCTAGCGGGGGTACGTACGATTGGTAAGGCGAAAATCTTATTTCATCATCACGAGAGCGGAACATTTCATCTTATAATTGTGGGAGAGTTATGCATGTATCGGCTGGCTCGTCCACAGTGATACCACGGCCTCACAGACAAGAGGCATGAAACAACCACAGCATTGTGTTTCTCCGTGTGAGTGAGGTCACCGAAGGCCTAACCCTTCCCCTCCCCTAGCCTTACTCCCCAAAAGGCCGGAAACGCTCTCGTAACTATCGTAGTAGCAGGTGCTGATTGCTTCACAATAGGTAATCTGTCAGATCGTCTGCTGTTCTATGACATAAATGCAAATAAAGGACAGTAGGATACAGCCGACTCGAAGCAGGATTATTATTCAGTTAGAGAATGGAGGTGCCATGCTTAGGCACGAATCACGGTATTACAGAAAACGCTTACATTTTGGTTCACCATGCGAGTAATCGTACAGGAGGCTCAATCCTTTCCCTCCCCAATTTCCCAAAAGGCCGGCAAATCACTTGCACTTTCTTAAGTGCTGCGGGTGTGCACGGGGTCGCCGATTGCGTACCATCAGTTGTTCCTTGTATCTGATCCTATAAAAAGACATACTCTAGGGTCTCATCTAGGGTAAAAGAAACCTTAAGTTGTTTTTCACCTTATGAATGAGGTAACTGGAGGCCCAGTCCTTCCCCTCCACATTCTCATTCCTCAAACCCCCTGTCCTCAAATCCCTAATAACCGACAAGAGGCCGGCAACGCACTTGTAGTAACTCCATTGGTATAACGAGTGTCCATGGTCGGCGCTGATTGCTTACCACCAGGTAGTCCGTCTGTTCGTTAAACCTAAAACTTTTTCATAATCAGATTGTCACCCAATTACATCAATAAAAAAGCCACTTACTTTAAACTGATCATAGTGACAAATAAAGTTGGCTTCGAATGTCTCTCCACGTCGCAGCGGTAAGCCTCCTTGGGTCTCTTCTCGACCCCAACTCCCAGAAATGTAATGATTGCGCTCTATATAACCTTCCTCGAAGCGAGGCTTGAAATTGAAGGCTACATCATCGTTATACTGCAAGTCGATCCCAAACCTAGAAACAAAATGTTTACAACGAAACAACAAATCATCATCATCATCATCATCATCATCAGCCAATACGTGTCTACTGCTGAGCAAAAGCCTCTTCTCACACGGATAAGGTTTGAGCATTAACCACCACGCTTGCTCAAGGCGGATTGGCGATTACAAACTTATAATTAGTAATTATAAGTCCAGGTTTCGTCACGATGTTTTCCTTCATCGTATGTCAGTTGTGTCTAAATAATTATAGAAAGTACTTATAACTCAGAAAGAGTCACATTAGTACTTGCAAACGAATGTTACGTTATACAATGAATACATTTTATAAACAATTAATAAGTATATTTTTCTAAATAGGCCATGAGATAGCACTTTACCTATCAACATTATAAAACAAATCTACAAGTAGTCAGACATTTCCTATTTGAATATTCTGAGAAGAAATGCCGAAACATGCGATCACAGTCTCTTTTAAAGTGGAGAAAGTAAGTAGTAAGTCTTTGAAAACGTTGTTCCACTCTAAGCCCGCGATGCACGCACGCAGGATGAGAATTACGTATGACAGACCGCACAACGACCTCTCCGAAAATAAGGACTGTTTCAGTCTTGTATCGTGGGTGCGTTTACAAACTTACAATTTTACACAGACATCCATATTATTGGGCTAGAAGCAGGTTATAAACTCACTTTCTTGCATCTGAAGGAATTTTTCCCTTCACTGTTATTATGCGCCCAGGAAACATACCCCCAGGAATAATTTTTGAGCATGGCACTGCCTGGAAGAATAGAATAAAACATTAATTTAGCATTTTTACATTAAATATGAAAATCAGCGTTGAATATTAGGAAACGTTGTATAAAAAAATATGGGACCCAAAATACTGCCTAGAGGCACACCATTTTTAAATTTCTTCATATTTTGGGTATATGAGTTAACTGACATTATTTCTCATATTAACTGTCTGTTTTAATAATATGTAGACATGTGTCTACGAGTAATTTTTGCATCAATGTGAAGTCATATCTAAATAGGAAATATAATTATAACTTCAAACAGATCCAAGGGCTTTTGAAGGTTTAAAAAATCCTAAATCATTGGGAACACAGTCAATTAAAAAACTCACCGGGTTGTTAATAGATTCTGGCATTACTTGTTCTTTAATTAAACAATTATTTTGGATGACTGTTCGGTTCTTCCGTCGAGCAATGAATGTAAGTCCAGCGTGTGTGCGCGGCATTATAAGTAAAAACTGCGCCTACGCAAGTAACCACTAGACCCTATTCCTCATAGGTTTGGCAACGCACTCGTACGTAACTTATCTGTTGCTTTTTTTGGACTGGAATTTGGAATGGGCATCCCCATTCAAAATTTCAGTCAAATAAAAAAATAGGATTTTGTAGATTTTGGGATTGGGGACGAAAAGATTTATTTTGTTATAATTATTAAATAATTTATTGAATGAAAAAGTGAAAGGCCGATGTTCAGCCGGGATTGCGGCACTGAGGCACCATTGCGTAAAGCAGGAGAAGGAACGGGGTCTCACAATTTTTCTCGCCTTACCCTGGGCGGGAGAAGTCGTTTGATGACTTTCCTCCGACAAAAGTGTGCCTCCCCCTTCGGAAATAGCAGGCGTGACAAACAGACATCATTATCTAGTACCATCTTACTTCATTCATACATTGTTTTATTGCTAAAAGCTGCTTTTTATCAAGATAGCACGCGGGCGAAGCCGCTGGCGGAAGCTAGTAACTAATCAATATAATGTCAATCAAGTGCATCGTTTTATTGATAATATGAGAATCACAATAACGTGTCTTCTTTTTCCATTTTATTATTATGCATCTGTGTCGCGCACACAGTAATCTCCACGGGCACGCTACTATAAGACCCCTCTTTGAGGAGTGGCTTGAGAGACGCCACGACGTCCTCACCTTCCGCCTGACGCAGGTGCTTACCGGGCACGGCAGCTTTGGTAGGTTCCTGTTTCGGATCCAGTGGGAGGAAATGCCCGAGTGTCGTCATTGCGAGGACCAGCTAGAGGATACGGTGGAGCATACGGTGGCGGTATGCCCTGCCTGGGCTGAGCACCGCCGTTTCCTTAGGGAAGTGATCGGCGGCTCTCGCGTCCGGCCTTAGTCGAGGCCATGGTGCGGAGTGAGAGGAACCGGGACGCCGTCTCCTCCTTCTGTGAAGCAGTTATGCTCGCAAAGAGGGAGGCGGCCCGCGTGAGGGAGCAATCCTCCTCCTCACGCCCCAGCTGCCGCAATAGGCGACATTCCGGGAGTCGGGGATCGAGAGATGATCTCCGGCCACCGTAAGCGCGGGTCTGCGGTCGGCGAGTAAGGGCAGCTTGCCACCCGACCAGAACCAGGTCCAAGCGTACGGCGCGTAGCGTTCCATGACGAGGCCCTATAGGGCTGATGTTCAGCCGGGGTTGCGGGGTAAGCGCAATGAGGCACCGCGACCTCGGCCCAGAGCAGGAGAAGGAAGAGGGTGGTTTTTAGTCAGTAAGAGTTTGACTTTCCCTCTCGCCCGGCCCTGGGCGGGAGAAGTCATTTGATGATTTTCCCCTAACAAAAAAAAGGCTTGTTGCTTGGCTGTGGAGGCGGTGCCGGATAAGTGATTGAGGATATCCGGGGTGTGCAGGGTTTATAGGTCTGTTGTTGTGTCGGTTGTGGATTCGAAGCAGGATATACAGAATAATTATTAGTAGAGTATTGAGTATAAATAATAAGGTTCACATCCTGGTTTGCTGAAATTGTAGTTCTGTACCGGATTCACATATTTCTGCGTTGTATTCCGGTTATATCCGTAAGTTCCGTTACCCCATCTCGGTGTATTAGTATTATTCTGAGGCACAAAATACCCGGTTACGAATCTCTTTACCCTGTTCGTATTGATTTCTTGTCCTGTAATCGTTTTAACGATATTCTGATCGTGTAATCCATCGTGACCTTGAGATATCGTTACACTTAAAGCACCGCTGCAGGGAGACGGCTTCGATACTTGAGTTGATGTTGTTTTTATACCGTATTCACTGGTAATTATTTTTTGAAAATTTAGCAGTTTGTATTGACTCGGAATGAACTTTATTTACACTGTTGTTTAGAAAAACTATTTTGATGTACACAGACAGGTTAGGAGTGGTTTTAATTCTTGAGTTTGAACAGTTCTTGAACGTAGTTTTCACTTTATTTCAGTACACATAAAGCACTATTTACAAGCACCAAATGTCTAGATGTAGACTAGTGTCGCTAGCTACTGTGTCTGCTTAAATATTGCAGTGGCATCGCTGGTCAGTCCATAATACCTATTGTCAGAGATAATAGTTTGGAATTTTTCACACAAACTGTCATGTCCGAAATCATGAAAACGACTGAACAGATTTTAATGAAACTCGGTAGGTACTCATACGCAACATATCAACTAATTACAACGTTATCAAGAAAATTTTTCATATCACATAAAAAGAAGAAAAGTTCAGATATATCTTACCGGATTATGCGGCACGTCGAAATCAATCTGGTATATTAAGGCATCCCCATCGATCATTACGTGTGAAATCCTCTCTATCGGGATCCGATGGTTGAAGTCACAAATTTCGCTTCCGTTTAAGAACGCCTGGGGGCAATAGTGAAATTAGCACATTATTAGAAACTCGAAGCGCTTTAAAGAAATATTACAAACGCAATAGTGACCGCGATTGCGATATAGATGGCGTGGCGGACTCACTGACTCAATTGACAAAAATATAAGGAACCACCAACTGTTTGTATAAGGAATCTGTATGTGAAACTGTTTGAAAACTAGAGTAACCATGGAGTTTCTTGCTCATCTTCTCCATCAGAATCTACACTTTGGAACGAGCAAATAGCTTCACTAAGAGGACTGTTCATAATTTTGTTTGACGTTCAAAAGTGCCTATTCGATTTTAAATTGAAATGAATGATTTTTGACTTAGACAACAGATGGCGTAACAAGTTCTGTATCGCGCAAGTGAAGTTTGCACGCGAATAAACACGTTTAGAAAATCTGCAAAAGAAAACTTTTGGGCAGTAGCCCACCATGCACGATCACCTCACCTGCTCGGAGGATCCTAATATAATTATAGAATCAGGCGTTATAACTTCGCGGAAATCCATGACTCTCACATTCTATTCCGCGACAAAAACTCCAGTCTTGTTGCAGGATGCAATCCCACTCCTGTGCAATCACGCCATATTCACGCATTCAATAAATGGCCTAACAAACACAAAAAGAACTGTCCAATTCGAACCAGTAGTCCTGGCGATTAGCGCGTTCAAATAAACAAACTGTACAGCTTTATAATATTATTGGTATAGTTGATTTAAAACTATTCAGGATACAACTTACCTTAAAGGCATGCTTATAACAATGAATGAAGACTTCGAAAGGCTCTCCACTGCTCAGTGGCAGGGGTCCCTGTGTCTCCTCAGGTCCCCAGCCTGACCAAATGAAGTGGTTGCGAACAACTGCCTTCTGGCAGAATCGAGGGTTGAAATGGAAGGCAATATCTTCGTCAGGATGCAAATTCGGACCACACTGAAGGTTTACCGCGAACCTGGGGGGGGGGGAAATAGTTGGGTAAAACATCATCATCGAAGTCATCAGCTAATTTCTTTTCATGTGGCTTAGGTCATTGAGAGAGACTGCACGGTTGGTGCTGTGGCTGGGCAACTGGCTGCCGTGCAACGTGTCGCGGGTTCGATTCCCACACGGAACAACACTATGTGTGATTTACAAATTGTTGTTTCGGGTCTGGGAGTGATGTGTAGAGAAATTGAATGTTTGTAAGTAAAAGAACCCACTACACGGGGAGAAAATCCTAGTGTGAGGCAACGTTTTTTATAAAAAGAAAATTCTCCTCAAATAATATCTTTAGATTTATTTCGTTGCGGGATCCAAGACAGCCATTCATGACCTCAGGACGCGGCGGACTTCAGTGTTCCGCTGTTTTCACGGTTTGTATCTACTGTAGATCCTGGTGCACAGGAGTTGCAGCTATTTTGGGAGGCCATGGAGGGTTTGTCCCGTACAAAAAACAGCAGAAGGATTGCAAATGCGTGACTGGCATTGGGGTGACGGTTAGGGATTTAAGGTTTAAGGATATTTGAATAAAGAAAAGCTTTGGCCTTCTGGTAATCTCACTCACACCGCAAAACGTAACGCAAGCTTTATTTCACAGCGGGTGTCTTGTAAGGCCACTGTAGCGACATCTATCGCACAACAATAACAACAGCACCAATCACGTGCAAGATTCTACATCGCGCTATAAGAGTTCTCAATACAATTAGAACCGATACAAAAATCCTGACACCAACCGTCGGGCAGTAGCCCACCAGACATAGCACCTATCTGGTCGGAGGATCCTCCCTTTTCAATCGAGGACGAGGAACTTTCCACCCTGTTCTCTCATACCTATAAACCACTCCGAGCAAGCTGACCCATTCGTGCGGAGGCATCACACACACACTCATCACCTCTGGTATTACGGGTTGTCCATGGAGCTGTTTGCTTACCATCAGGTAATCCGTCTGCCCGTTGAATATAAACTAACCTCTTTACCCCGCAAGGGGTTACTCCTTTGACTCTCACTGTGCGACCAGGGCGCATGTCACCAGGGATAGGAACCACGCAAGGTATCATCTGTAATGGTATAAAAATAAGGGTATAATTTAGACAGCCAATTTTTGTTTAAGACTCTGAGGGGTGTGATTCTGTAAGACTTCATTCTAAACTTCGAATCTGAATCCGCGGTGAGTTTCTTGATTGGCATTCTAAAACTCGATTCCTAACTCGAATCTATGCTAGCGCTACACTTTCGAGTGTGTTTACGAGTTGAACTAAATTGACCGCAACATTTTGACAGATAAAGTATGAGATAACGTTGAAAATCGTATTCTATAATGTAATTTACCTGTCACTTCGACGCTCACTTCGAACTAGAACAAGATTCAAAATGTCAAATTAAAAGTATCTATTTTACGAGTGAAAATTGAAGAAATAATAGTTAGATAGTGTTCAAATTAAGTTTTGAAAGTAACAAAGTGAATAAGTGCTTACCTATTAAAACGATAACAATGGCAAGAATGATTTTGGTAAAATCTTTGTTAGAAGAAGCTCATGCTTTAGATAAACAAGAAATGCGTCGACAATCTAGCACCATTCGAAGTTTGTCTTTATTAACCTGAGATGACGACTATGTGAGCGTGTATCTGCAATGGAGCTGATTGACCAACTGGAGTATGAGTTACTCCCTTTGATAAAACCCACGAAACGGAGAGGCAAAGGGCTTTGAACTTTCAAATATATACATATATCTGTATAATAATATAATAGTTTAGTTCACAACATGTATTACCATGTTATGCCCCTACTTGAGAATATATAAGTCTAATTACTAGGTTTTATTTATATGTGATTGGTCGGCAAACAAGCAAACGGATTACCTGATGGAAAGGATTCAGCGCCGCCAATGGATAACCGCAACAACAGAGGAGTTACGAGTGCGTTGCCGACCTTTTGGGGATTATGGATTTGGAGATTTTGACACACATTCACACGGTGAAACACAACGCTATGGTTGTTTCACGCCAGTTTTCTGTAAGGCCGTGGTATCTCTCCGGTTAGACCGACCCATTCGTGCCGAAACATGGCTTTCGCACACTTAAAATGGTATAAGTACTAGATAGTCATTAGATTTTTTTTCAGGTGATTCAGGATTTGCTCGACGTAGCCTACCTTATGACACCATTAGTGGTGTTGAAGACAAGTCCCCAGAAGCATTTTAAAATAACATACATATTACTGCTCGCAATTCAGAAGAGAGGACAATTAGAGACGAAATTATGTACAATTGCTGAAGTTCAAAGGAGGCAAACTAGGAATTTGTCATCTAATACAGGTTCAAATCTAGGACGTAGGCAAAATATAGTGCCTCAAAGAGCCAATAGACTACCACAGACGGAGCCCTACAGGGCTGATGTTCAGCCACGGTGGAGGGGCAAGCGCAATGAAGTGCCACGGTCACGGCCTAAGGCAGAGAAGGAACGGGGGGGGGGGGGGTTAGTCAGTAAGAGTCTGACACTATCTCGCCTTACTCTGGGCGGGCCTAAAGCAGGAAAAGTCATGATGATTTTCCCCTGACAAAAAAATATGATTATGATTTTATTTTATTTTGATTTTAAGTCAATTAGGGTCTTGTATGATTTTACTTTTTCCATTTATTACAATTTTTCCTTTTAATTTAGCCTTACGAGCCTAATTGTTAGGCTCTAGTTGATTTATTGTAACCCATAATTGTTTGAATGTACAATTGAGTTAAAGTCAAATAAATAAATAGTCAGTGATATGTGAGAATGGGTCTTTAACTAATAAAACTGCTAGTACTCGTTAAAATTCTTTAATTTAAATATAATAAAAAAAGTTGGTTGAAACCTTCTTAAAAACTAAAACACAACTTCGTTGTTACACCCTATCTTGATGCCATGGCCTCTGCCAATGCTCATAATCCATTCCCGATTGAAACTACAGATCCAGCTAAAATTTAATCATTCCCTAGACTTCTCTTCAGAAATGCTTGCAAGATCTGTGCATTTGATTTTTGTAAATTCTTCCAATTGATTTGAAATTGTCTACTCTTCCACACTCTGGAATCTCTCTGTGATGTTGAAGAATTCTATTCGCCGTTGTGATGTTGTGTGACGGGATGCTGAAAAGAGAACACCGATTACTATGTGCATTGATAAAATCTCTTTAACAAATTGCAGCTTTTCGCTGTCGTTTGTTCCAAAAATTAAGTTCTTTCTTCAACCTCTGATAGCTCAACTTCATCTTCCACCACACCAGTCCTGTCCTGCGCCTAGCTGCTGAGCTTCTTATGGCGCTTTTTTCTCAGACCAATACTACAAGCAGACATTTATATTAATAAAGAAGTTATTAAAAAAAGCCTTACTTTTTATTATTATTAATAGTCAATGTAAAATTAAAATAAGATAAGTTATATAACCAAGGAGCACGCCAAGATTCATCGCTATTTTAAGTGGCTTGCATTAAGGAATATTAAATGGTTTTAACATGCCAAAGTAAGCACTACTTACTTCACCTTGGTCCTCTGTTTATAAGTTTTGTAAGTGCCACCTATACTATTAAGGCACACGGCTAGTTCCTTCCACTAGCGTCGCTTTCGCTCTCTGGCACCTTGAGTTCTCAAGAAACCCTTCGCCAGCCAGGTTACAACCTGAGATGACGACGGGTGTGAGGAACGTATCTCATTTGGACTAAAACATTATTGTTTGATTAGAAAACAAAATAAACACTCTTTAATAAATATTATTTTTGAACTTTACAACCAGTAATAAAACTTACTTCATGATTATTATGATGTCTCTTTTTATCGGCAAGCACGAAACGAAAAAATATACGAATAAACCAAACGTGGACAAAATAATACAAAGCAAATGACAAAGAGTTTGTCAACAATGAATGAAGACATTATCTGTCAGTTTCTTTTTGGTAAACGCAGCACAGATTATATTCATCGCCTGAATTTACAGTTTTCTGTTTATTTTGTAATAATTAGCTGCCTTAATTTCCTTAAAATAAGAAATTTCAATTTATACGTCATAATATCTAAAATTCTGTGTCAAAAACTTGTTAAAATAAAAACCGATAAATCTCGACTTACATTATGTGGAGTATGGTACCACACTAGTACCAGTTCTCTTCACTTCACTTCGCAAGTGCCTAGGTGATGCTTACAGAATGCAAAATCAACGCCATTTTGAACCTTATGCGAAGTGAGAGAGAATATCGACTTGACATGCGAGTTCGTGTTAGAATTTTATAGAATCGACGTGCTGAGACAGCTTATAAAATAAATAACTCCTTTCCGTTTCTAAGTGCTATAGGCTATAAAACATCAGGCTACGATGCTTCCAATTAATTTCGTAGGTAGTATAGTAGTGTCTCATGATAATATAAAAAAAAGGAACCTAACCTAACTTTTCCTCTGCATCCTCAATGTACTCATAACTCCATAACACACTCTTATCACGACTTTTATTCTAGGCGGCGTTGATTGCTTATCATCAGGTAGGTGATCTTAATCAAAAACTCAAAAAATTTACTTACCAATTTCGGGTCCTGTGGAGGGTTGAGCCCCTCGAAGCTGATCTGATGAATGGTGACATCACCATCCACCATGATGTGGCTGATTTGATCGAAGTCGATACGGTGGTTGAATTCGCAAGCAAATATTCCGTTGACCTCCACCTAAGCAAAGTCGAAGTCAAATTATTTATATCAATTAATTGTGGGAGAGCCATGCTTCGGCACGAATGGGTCGGCTCGACCGGAATTATACCACGGCCTTAGAGTTAATCCCAAAATCTCCAAATCTCCAACAGGTCGGCAACGTACTCGTAACTCCTCTGTTAACGGTGTCCATGGGCGGCGCCGATTGCTTGCCACCAGGTAATCCGTCAGCTAGTTAGCCGACGTATCACATACAAAAAACCGAAATAGGTTAAGCTCACCTTAAAATTGTAATAGTAGCAATGGATAAGAACTTCGAAGCATTCTCCAGCTTTCATCGGCACCCCATTGTTGACCTCCTCAGTTCCCCAGCCGGAGCAGGTAAAATGGTTGCGAACCAAAGTATTCTGAACGAAGCGAGGGTTGAAGTGGAACGCTATGTCTTCACCAGGGGGCATTTTGGGACCACATTGTAAGTTTATCGCGAACCTGAGAACAAATGATGAAGAACAGATTATAAAACCCTTTGGGTAGGTTTTTTTATGTGATAGGGTGGCATACGATCTTGTGGATTCCCTGATGGTAAGCCATCAGTGCCGCTCATGGCGATCCGCAACAACAGAGAAGTAAAGACTGTATTGCCAGTGCTTTGAGGAAGGATTTTAGAGATGTAGGGATTGGAGGAGGAGAAGAGAATCTTAAAAATTTAGTTTGACGTTTATAAGTACCTGTATGGGTCTAATTGAAATAAATAATTTTGACTTTTTGTGTCATGTTGTGTTCCGCCGTGTGAGTGAGGTTATCGGAGGCTCAATCCTTCCCCTCCCCCAATCCCTAATCCCCAAAAGGTAGGCAACGAACGTAACTCTTCTGTTGTTGCAGATGTCTATGGGCGGCGTTGATTGCTTACCATCAGGTGAATTAGAACCTGAACATCACATAAAAAAGAACGTACCTTGGCGAACAGTTCGGGACTTGACCTTTCACCTTGATAATGCGACCGGGATAGATACCCGGCGAAGGAATCTGGAACGAACCAGGAATAGTCTGGAAAGATAGAAAAATTTTGGTATAATACCGCGTATTTATTGAGTTTCTTGCTCGTTCTTCTCCATTCGAATCTACAATTTGGAACGAGCACCTAGCTTCACTGACGAACAGACTGACAGACTACTATTCTATTTTGACGTTTCAAAAGTACCTGTTTACGGTTTAGTTGGAATAAATGATTTTGGGTTTTCACTTTTAGATACTTTTACCACTCGACAAATAGCCGGGGTTGCGGGGTAAGCGCAATGAAGCACCGCGACCTCGGCACAGAGCAGGAGAAGGAACAGGGGGGTTTTTATAGTCAGTAAGAGTCTGACACTATGGGCGGGAGAAGTCATTTGATGATTTTCCCCTCACAAAAAAAAAACCTATCGACAAATATGAGCACGCGTGAAGAAATTGAGTAGTATGGTTGGGCTTTCTTTAGTTTTTCGACGCGACAAAATTAATCATTTTGTCGGTGTATCTGTTTCACAATATAGACATAACTATATTACGGTTGGCGCGGTGGCTGAGCAACGGGCTGCCGTGTAACGTGTCGCGGGTTCGATTCCCGTACGGAACATCTGCTAACAACTATTTGTTATCGTTAGTTCTTTTTTTTTCACTTTCGTTACACACTGTGTCTTATATTTTAATTACATTTCCTGTCTCAGGTCTACTGGAAGAAATTCCAACAGGAATAAGTAGCACCTTTGTACTCTTATTTTTTTATGTTTTTCCTCTGTGCTGTTTGTGTGTACATAAATTATGAAATAAATAAACTGCTTGTGTGATCCACAAATTGTTGTTCCGGGTCTAGGTGTGATGTGTATGTGAAATTGTATGTTTGTAACCGCACCCACGACACAGAAGAAAATCCTACTGAGGGGCAACGTTTAAAAAAAACGCTATATGCGCTCTTTTGCGCCAGAAAGAAGGTGACCCAGCAAAATTAATCTCCTGCGAAAGTCAAAAAAGTCAAAAAGCCAAAAATCATTTATTTCAATTAGACCACAGTAGGCACTTTTGAACGTCAAGCAAGCAAAAAAGGAAAAAAGTATATAACAAGAGCTTTAAAATTAAGCGTGTCAGTCTGTCCGTCTGTCCTCTAGTGAAGCTATTTGCTCGTTCCAAAGTGTAGATTCCTATGGAGAAGAACGAGCAAGAAACTCCATGGTTACTCTTTTTCAATCAGTTTTACAATACATTTCTTTGTTACATCATTTAGTCAGTTCTGATATGTGAGAACAATGTAACACTAATGTTCAGGCAAAAAGTACGAAAAAGAAGTGAACCTCAAGGACAACATAATTAGACAGCATGGAGCTGACCAGTCCCCAATAGGCGGCGCCCGTTCACGAACATGACACGTACACCAGCACCGCCCAACTCAACCATATTATAGGGAATTGGGCGATCCAGTGCCCGTGCCACCGCCAATGAGACCTCTGAGTGAGCATGACAGCTCCCAGCCGACACAAGTACCTATATTCTACAAGTCTTACTTAATTATAATAGGTTACAGGGCACTCACATTTACAAAAACTTAGAAGATCATCAACAATTAACAACATAGTGTACAAATTAATAATTAAAATCAAAAATTCCTCTAAACATCCTGTGGAGTAGGACCAGCTAGCCTCCAAGCATTTTTATCTTGTATATAATCATTTAGTTTGTAGTATGCTAGTTTACATAAATGTTTCTTTATACATAATTTGAATTTGCTTTCATTTAGATTTTGAATTTCAACTGGGATTTTATTATAACATTTAACACAGAAACCCAGGAATGACTTATGCACTTTTGCCAATCTAAATAAAGGCTGACTCAATCTATTCCTATGTCTAGTATGATAATCATGTTTGTCAGATACCTTTACAAATAAGTGTAGGTTTTTCCTAACATACATAATGTTTTCATAAATAATTGACTCGGTACGGTCAGAATGTTGATCTCCTTAAACTTTTCTCTGAGAGATTCGCGACGACCTAAGTTATATATAGCTCTGACGGCACGCTTTTGCAAGACAAAGATAGACTCAACGTCAGATGCCTGTCCCCACAATAGAATTCCATACGACATGATGCTATGAAAGTAGCTAAAGTACACTAGTCTTGCCGTGCCTACATCGGTTAGCTGACGGATCTTCCAGACAGCATAAGCTGCAGAGCTCAATCGTCCTGCTAGAGACCTGATGTGGGGCCCCCATTGCAACTTCTCATCTACAGTGATCCCCAGGAAAGTAGTCTCTTTTACAAATTCTAGTTTCTGATCATTTAATAATATATCATCACATACGTTACTTTTAACATTTGGTAAAATAAATCTAATGCATTTAGTCTTTTTATCATTTAGTAATAAGTTGTTTATTGTAAACCAATTTTGAACCTTCATTAAGGCATTATTAACTTCGTCATATTTGTTTGTTCGTCTATTTATTTTAAAAATCAATGAAGTGTCATCAGCGAATAATACCATATGCGGTTCATTTTGGAACATATGGGGCAGGTCATTTACATAAACTAAAAATAGAAAAGGACCTAATATTGAGCCCTGCGGTACGCCCATAGATACGCTAGCACCCAGTGAGTTAACTTTGTTGACTTGTACTTTAATTTTTCTTTCTTGAAGGTATGATTTCAATAAATCTAGGGATACCCCCCGAATGCCGTAGTGTTCTAGCTTCAGTAACAGCGTCTCGTGCTCAACACAGTCGAATGCCTTTGAAAGGTCACAAAATATTCCGATGGCATCCTGTGCTTTTTCCCACGAGTTGAAAACTTGTTTTATAAGTGATACTCCTGCGTCCGTAGTGCAACGTCCTTTGGTGAACCCGTATTGATGGTCATGGAAAATACAATTCGTGTTAAAGTGACGCAGCATTTGAATAAGCTTTCGAACACTTTACTGAGCACTGGCAAAATAGAGACCGGTCTATAGTTATTAGGTTCTGTACTATCACCTGATTTAAATAATGGAACTACTTTACTATGTTTCATTAAATCCGGGAAAACCCCTTGATCTACACTTTTATTAAAAATGAAAGTTAAGTTCGGCGCAATTGTCTCTATAAACGACCTGCACACTCGAACAGACATTCCCCAAAGATCTTCAGTTGACTTTACTTTGATCTCATTGAACGCCTTTATTACTGCCTGGGGGGTTGTGTATTGAAAGCTAAAGTCAGAAGGACATTCTTTGACGTTACCCCTGAGAAGCTCGACAGAAAGTGCTGGAGATGATTTTAACGTTTCCGTAGTTTTAAGAGGAATATTTTTAAAGAATCTTTCGAATTCCTGGGCAACTGACGAATTTGAACTAGTATATCCCTTTTCGGTTTTTAAATTAAATTCAGTGTTTTGTGATTTATTTCTACCTGTTTCTTTATTAATTATATTCCAGGTAGCTTTTATTTTGTTTTCCGCGGTCCTGATTTTATTACTAATGTGGAGCGACTTAGCATGCTTGCATACTATTTTAAATATTTTTGAATATTTGGAAACATGTCTGCGAAAAGCCTCGCTACTATTAAATGGTTTCAGGCCGTATAGCTCAAATAACCTGTCTCTACTTATACGAATACCTGGTGTAGCCCAGTCACATAATACAAATTTACACTGAATATTTTTACGTTTTAAAGGAAATAGTTTATCGAATTGTATTTTTTGGGATAATAAATTGGCATATAGCTCACTCGGGCAATTATTGTCTTGTACTTGGCTGCATAATTTATGTTTTAGCTTATTATTTAATGAATCAATTTTTTTGTATGTGATTTGTCTAAACAATATTTCCTTTTTTGGCACAGTTGTTATAGTATTAAAGTTAACTGTGAGCAGTGGGCTCACAGTTAACTTTAGATCAGATGGTAATCTATTTACAATTTCACTTTGTAAATAATCACAGTTACAGAAAATATTATCTATACAAGTTGCCGAGGTGGATGTTACTCGGGTGGGCTCAAGGAAAACATTAGACAAATCAAATGATTGAAATAGACTTAACAAGTTTGTACAATGAGAATTGTTTTCTAAGAGATCAACATTAAAATCGCCACATACTATTGTACATTTACTACTAGTACATGTTTTCCGCAGTACATCTTCCATTACAGAGCGAAAAATATTTAGATTCTGTATGTTAGGAGGCCTATAAACACATACTACAATATGCCTATCCAGCTCAACACAGGACAACTCTATTGTGTGTTCAATTGACAGCAATCTTGCCCAATGTCTTGTCTTTCTTTATATTTTATTGAGTTCTTTACTAAAATCAGGCTACCACCATGTATCATTGCTTGGCGGCTATAATTGCTGCCAACACAATAGTTATTGAAGTTAATTGTTTCTACTTGATAATCTTTTAACCAATGTTCAGTTAAACAAATAATATCATATTGGAATTTCTCTAAAAACAATTTTAGAAAATTTCTAGGAATTTTGATGATAAGCCCTGAATATTTTGACTGTATAATGACAACAAGTTATCTAATTTAGTTTTATGTTTCAATTTAAATTGATGCTTAATAATATTGCCAGAAGAAACCCTTTCAATGAATGTGGTTTTTGAGTAATTTAATTGGTTATCTTCTGTTGTCGTGGAAGTCAGTTTAAAAGAATATTATCCGGAGTACTATCCACATTTGTCAATAAATCTGGAGCCTCCTTCGTACTATTGTATGTACAATTAATCTCTATATTGTTAGATTGTCTAATCAATATAGATTTGTCACTAAAACTACTTATTAATAAATTAATACTATTTGCTAGCAAACTAGCAATTAATAATTTACATTTCCTGGGAATATACATATAATCCCGGGTCAACTTAAAACCACTAACAAATTTGTTAGTGTCAAAAAATGATAATTTGTCACTATGACAAGAGGTCAAAAAAAATATTAAATTGTTCAGATGATGAATTCTACTATTTTCACTTTGTGACAAAGTGTCAGCATATGGGAATGCACATAACATTATATTCCCTGTGTTTAGTCTTAATAAGGTGTT